CTATTCTTCAGCTGTGTGTTTAACAGATGAGGACTTGAACAGTATTCCAGATATTGAGGAGCGCCCAGTCGGCTCGAATTTAACAGGTTTTGAAATACACGAAGAAAAGGTTCTCAAGCGCCTGGTAGCTCTAAATCCCAACAAGTCATGTGGACCAGATGGCTTCCATCCCAGATTGCTCAAAGAATTAGCAACCGTTCTGGCTGGCCCATTGACAGTATACATATATGTATACTCGTCATATATATATGACGCTGTAATATATACTCGAGTGAAGAGGTTATAAGCCCCCACAACACGAGAAGTAATCGGCACGGGAACTAGCCGTCCCAGAGCGCTGCCAGCATCTGGGACTATCCAAGAACTCCACCTACGCCATTATTAGTCAGTTACTACAACTCTTTCCGAGTAAACTTTAGAACTACGGTAGAATAAGGTCTTTAAAGCCCATATCTGGCTCTAGAGATTCATGTAGAAACATGTGCACCCCAACCCAGTACCACTGAGCACACACGACTTTTCCGCGATGGGTAACTTAGCTAAAATGAGCTTGCCTCAACACCCGTCTACAATGTAGAAGAAATAGGCTAATAAAAGCGTCTATATGCAAAAACAATAGATATCATAGTATATCACAATAAAATAGAATCATAATTTAATCCTTTGGTCAAATAATGATAAGAGAAAGTCTATATAAGATAGAATAACTCTCGAGGATAATTAACTTGCGAGCGCGTGAGTCCTTACCAGTTCGTCAATACACTAGAGAAATGAACATTGACTAAGCATTATCAAATACAATGAGAAGTATTATCACCTAATAAAATCATATTAATAAAGAGTTTAACTTTTTGACAACATGACTACAAGTTATAATCGACTTCTTATAGAACATCTCCCTCTAAGATGTTTAGCTTTCCTTACGCAAGATGGCGACGTAGCAGTCTTTACTTTAACGATATATAGTATCGTAGGTTGACAGCACAGATTCTCGGACAACGGCAAGTCATTACGATTATCACAAAAGAATAGAATAGAAGAAGAGTCAGCACTGAAGAAATAGGCCCATGGCCTGTTGCCGATTCTTGAATTTTTCGTGACTTGATTCACAAGGGATCCGGCCTTTGGAACCCGATCTTTCCATAACTGACGATTGGTTGAGATAGCTGCTGGACTGAATAAAGTCCTTTGACAAAATAATTGTGATAAAATTATTTGAAAGTGATAAAAATTAATTATGAATGCAAATAATGGTGACGGGGGTTATAAATGTGAATAATGGAGGCTGTGGTTATGAAATAATCTGTGAGAGAGCAAAAGAATTTCTGTGAATCAAATAAATGCAGAAGGAATTAAGCGTGAAAAGGAGTTAACCAGCTGCGATGAGGCATGTTTGTTATCATATAATTTCTATGTAGTAATAGTCGATTCAATTCTGTGTGTCACCTTAATATGATGACTTTAAGTAACATATAAATGTAAATGGGGTATTAAAACCCTGTCTGACTGGAGAGCATGTACGACTTCGGGACAAAATTTTACCAAATTGTCGGTATTAGATCGTTATTAATGAATTGTGTCTCTTCACTTCTCAAATCCTCGCAATTTGATGAAAATTGTCAACAGCTGCTCTCCAAGAAATCGATGGAACAAAATCTTGCCCCAAAATCTAGATTTATTCTCCCTAACCTCAGAAAGTCTGTTAGAAATTTAAGCAACCCTCTATTACGAATTATATATTTATTATATTCTCGCACTTCGCGTAGACTAAAATTCCTTCAAAAATTTCCGGGTACAGACTTTTTGCCACAAATTGTAAACAACGTATGTTCTATAATTAAAAAATAATCTATTTCATTACCTTGACTGTAAGATTAACGTATAACATTTACATGTACACTGTTTTTTGAAATAAGTTAAATAATCAGTTGGTATATATTGTATATGTAAGTATTTGTACATAATCTTAGGCAATTTGAAAACTATTTGCACGGTGAGTAAGTGGTCGGTTTTATGTCAAGTTCAAAATATAATAGCTACCAATGAAAAAATGTAATGTCAAGTCGAGTTACTGATATAAAACTGTCACGTTGTTTATCAGTTGACATTTATTTCCCATTAAGTAGTAAAAATATATGTAGCTGTTAATTTTGCAAATCAAAATCAATTTCGTCAATAATTTGTGAGATTTTCCTTATATTTGTTTGGTAACAGATGATTAATCACAAATTTTGTCACAACATATGTATCAGTAGAAAGGGAAGAAAAAATATCAGGGAGATCATGGGAAGGGAAGCCGAGGGAAGAAAAAAATATCAGGGAGATAATGGGAAGGCAAGCCGGCGAGTTCATGAAAATTGAGCCCTACGTAGAGTGTCAACTTAAATCTGCCACAGAGTATGGCGCCCGCTGCCAATAGCTTAGTTACGGCTCAAAATTTTTTTTGCGTATTCAGTGACCACAATACGAACACGTGAGCGAAAAAGCATTAGCACTAACCTCCCAAGGCTTATACAAGTTATATTTTTGAATGTCGCCCGTGCGGCGACGCCACGAATTAATGAAAGCTAAGGGTAAGGGAGAACCGTCAAATTGGTAAGACATATGGTGTGTTTCGTTGCGTGAAATAATTTCATATAAGGAAATCGTGAGTATAAATCATTGTAAATAGTATTAAAAATTGATTTTTGGGAAATAAGATTATTTGTTTAACTTCATAAGAAATACGCGGGGTAGGATAAGAACATGGATTCTAATTCACCGGGGCTTACGGAGTTAGCAGACGTATTTGATAGTGAAGTCGCCGAAGGACTGCAGGGAACTCAAGTGGGAGACATGATTAAGGAGCTCTGTAGGATGTCTGTAGGAGTTGGCACTGGTAAATCAATACAATCAGGAGTCTCGTTTGAACTGTGATGAGAGTCAGCGGCGTTCATACGGTAAACATCTTACGAAGTTACGATTGTGCTCTGGAGAAAGTCAGTTGCGTTCGTCGTGAAAGCACGTGTGTGAATTGCGATCCCTATTCCCTAAACCTAAAGTAAAGTAACCGGTAAATTTTTGCTTCAGATTCTATAAGTATTAACATTTCACAACCTTTATTATTTGATTTGTTTCTGCTTTAACCCGACTGGCTTGCTCCCTCAGAGTCAGAGGTTTGCCAGTCCGCCTTGTTTTTTTTTTCCTTTTTTCTGGTTTGTCTACTCCATTTCTGTAGGTAAGGTATATTCGTCATTACAAGAAATCGTCCTCCGTCTTGATCATAGTCTTGCATGGGAGATACAGCCCATACAGGCTGTCTTGCTGGGTCTGGGTTTGGTCCCCCAGCACCAGCAGCAGGCTCTGGCTCAGCAGCCTCTGCCCTCTAGTACTGCTACTGTGGAGTGTGGAGGTGGGCGAGTTAGCTTAGCTGAGTGTGCAGCAATGATGGAGGTTGGAGGAAGATATTGCTATTGATGGTTTCGTTATTGAGGACTCTGATCTAGATAGCATCATTGAGGCCACTCCTGTTGCTGTTGCGGGTAGATGCAAGCGCAGGGACCGTGAAACTGATCTGTCAAGTGAGAGCATCTCTAGCAATAGAGCCAAGCGTGCAGCTGTGGCCGTCTTCAACATAGGTACTTGTGTAAACAAATATTTCCCAAAATGAAGTGTGTGAAATCTAAATGTCAAGCAACTATGTCTGACGATATCTTGAAATCAATTGGTACAATTGGCTCATCTAATCTGGAACCGGATTTTAATGAATTTTTTAAATCAAAATGACAGCATCATTTGACAGGCATCAAGACAGGCTTTTATTTAGTTTACCCTGATTTTTTCCAAAAAGATATGTTTTAATATTTCTATGTTTATTCTTTAATATTTGAGTAAATAAAATTACTGGCACTGATTTTTTTTATGACTTTGGCCCACGTATATATGGGAAATATATAATGTGGCCTGCACATTGAAGAGTTTGGAGACCCCTGGGGCCTGGTCTATTGGATGACCCCATGTTAGTGTCTTTGCCAGGTTTAGGTATTGGAATTATCTTGGCTAGCGTCCAGGTATGGGGTATTGTATTGGAGTTTATTGTAATATTGTAAATTTGAGTAAGGTATGTAATTGCTGTGGGGCCTAGGTGTTTGAGATGCAGTATATTGACGTGGTCTGGTCCAGTTGATTTGTTATTTTTACTGTTTTTTATTGCGAGTGTGGTCATGGCTGTTGTTATATTTATTGGGTTGCCCTTTAAGGCTTTAGTGATTTAATTCTTCTATCTGTTATCCTGTTATTGTGTGAGGTTTGGTGCGGTTTGGTGTTTATGAACTACTTGTTGAATTGTGTTGCCTTCTCTTTGTCGGTGTATGCTGTTGTGTTTGTGAATTGTACAGTTTTGCTTGGTTCTTGGCATGGTATTTTATTTGAAATTGATGAGATTGTCTTCCAGAGAATATGTGTACTGTGTTTGTTATTCCAGTTTATTCCCCTTAACTTGTCACGTTTTCCTTCATTTTCTGTATAAACTCGTATAAATCAAATGTGCTTCTATTAGGTAGTGTTTTGCACATGTGTAGGGAGCTACAGAAAGATTGGCCAGTTAATAACAATTTTTTTGTTAATTTGTTTAAAGGTAGGCTCTCCCCTTAACATGTTTTAAATGTGGTGCTGTCTAATGGGGGATACTTAAGTCTTTGTAACTAACCCCTTGGGTAAGTGTTAATTATGTTTGTTGTTTGCGCCATTGTAATTTGTTTGAGTGATGCATGTTTTCAAAGATTTACTGTCTTTTATTTAAATATCTTTTGAACTTACTCAAGTTGCCCTGTTATGTCCAGTCTCAATTTGATGGTACTGTGTTGATTCGTTTTGTCTTAGGATTTCCACTGTTCATTCTTCTGTAGCAGCTCAGAAATATTTTTTACCTCATTTTCTGGATATTTGGTTTGTAATTTCATTTCTTTGAATCGATTTCCAATTTTTTTGTTAATCAATTATAATAATATGAATAATTGCAGTTATATGTCATTTTTTCAGGTATCTGTAGAAATTAATCTTGTCTATAATATTTGTCACCTGTAACTCGTTAAACTCAAAATGGACTCTGCTACATTTAAAAGACTTATTGCTAAGGCCAACAAGTATTTGGAATCTTCAGATTTTGAGAAAGCATTAAAAATATCTATAAAATTGTTATCTAAAAACCCCCAAAATATTGAAGCTTTGGAGCTGTCATCTACAATTGCTCTTGAGATAGGCGACTCTGAGACTGCATTAAAACATCTCAACAAAGCTATTGACTTGCAGCCTGGTCGTAACCACAGGTTATATTTGTCCAAAGCTCAAATTGTTGATGGAAAAGAATCTCTTGAGTGTTATCAATCTGCCATTCAGATTTTATTAGGAAAAATAAGAGTTAAAAATGGGGGTGAATTTACTGCAAGGTCATCACAATCTTGCAGTAACGCTTCCTCCTCTGCTGTGGAGGCTGCAATGGATATTGATGAGCAACGCTCCAATGCTATGGAAGGAGACAACATGAACAAGGGATCAGATGAAAGTCCAGAAAGAGAACTCAGCACCGTGTATTGCTCTGTGGCAGAACTTTTTTTCACAGATCTTTGTGATGAGGCTGATGCAGAAGATGCTTGTAAGAAAGCCTTAGACAATGCACTGGAACATGATCCTACTAATGCTGAAGCACATATTACTAAGGTACATCCTTTTTTTATTCAAATAATCATTTATTTATAAGAAATTTATTGTGGTGAATTTCATGTGCATATATAGTTTTCACTGTTAGATTAGTTTACTCTATTGTGTCAAGTGTTTTTAATTAATTTTTTGTGGGCTTTTGAATATTTTATATAGGTATAAGATGCATTGGGCTGCAGTTTAATTCAAGAATAATGAAAGACAACAATTAGAATAATTAAAGAAGAAGAATTAATTCTTAATTAGAAGAATAATGAAAGACATTACCTGAAGCAATTACAGTGGATATTCTGTTCTTGCTTATCCAGCTTGGGTGCTGTTTTCAGATAGTTAAATTAATGTATGTAAGCTCCTTAATGGCAACTTTTAAAAATTGCCTTCAAATAAGTATGCAATGTAACTAAATACATTGTCAAATGTCAATAACCCAAGTTTTGAGTTCATTATTCATGTTAAAATTTTTAATATGCCAAATAGTTATTCAAGGGTTCCTTGTGAATGAGTTCATCCTTGTTCCAGGCACGCTACCTCAACATTATTGGTGAAGTGGTGCAAGCCAAGACAGTCCTTGAAGAAAGCCGTCCTCTGTGGACTGTGGAGTTCCAGGAGGATGGATCCAAAGCTTCTGAGTTGCCGGCTCCTCTTCGCCTAGCTGCTGCTAAACTTTTTATTGAGCTAGAAATGCATGAAGATGCACAGAGCATCCTTGATAGCTTACTGGATGAGAGTGATCAGGTAGGCTTTGTTTTGTCATGAAAGTTTATTAGAATTTTTTTATCTTGATCATCTTTTTGTGATTTAGGCTTTTTGAGACTGCAATGGAAATAAAAAAGGAGTTTTGAATTTTCTTAAAATTTACAGGTTTAACAGTTATTTAGTTCATAAAATGTATTCTTAAGTTGTTCATATTAAATGAAATTATCATTCTGAAATATGTTGTAGAACAAATCCTGAAACAATTTAATCTTCATGTTTCATTAATATGTTCATTTTCAACTTAGTATTTTTGTTGCTGTGTATAGGTCTGTCCTGCTTCTACAGATGACTTGAATATAATTAAGATTTTAACACTTGGTTGTTAGACTGATCATTGTAGGCTTAGGAATTTCCTCCTTGAGGTCATTACAACTATCTATGAAACTACAACCGTTGAACCATGGCGCTCTGACCACAGTGACTGAACAGCAAGAAGTGCCTCCCACTGACGACTCATGAACCCTTCACCTCCCATTCACTTTTGCATGCACAAGACCTTTTGTTTTGTTTTAGGTTCTGGAAATTTTGAAAAAAATAAGTCCCCCTTGAGCACACAAGTGAATTTCAATGGTTAATCTCGTTTTCTTGCCAGTGATGTCTTTAATATAAACTTCCATACACTAATCATGCTATAAATTACCATATAAACAATAACGCAATAACAAATTACCATATACATTGCGGATTGAATCCTATTTTTATTTCACAATTCAAGGCTCATTTTTAAGCTTGATGATGTAGTGCTTCAAACTCCCTGAGCTGCAATTGCCTGCTAAAATAATGTCCCACTTCATGAGCATTCCTGGAATGCGCCTTTATGTATTTATGGCGCTAAGCTTAAAAAACGCAAGCATATTTACTATGATATATAATTGATTGGATGAAATCTTAAAGGCCCAAAATTAAAATGGAAAGGCAATGAAAATCTGTTTGTTATTTTCTCTTCTGATGGAAGCAATAGACACGAATTATGCAATTGCTTGAACATCTGAAAAATAGGTGAAGCTAAAAAATCTTGAAGAAAGAAAAGTCTTCTAATAGTTTTTTTCCCATAACAGGTTGTAGAGGTGCACTATCTGTCCGGCTGGAATTCCTACTTACAAGGGCAAGAACATCACAGTGATGCTCTGCTTCACCTTAAAAATGCTAAGACGGTTTGTTCAGTAACTAGAAATGTAATGCTTATTAATCTGTAAAATTGCTTTCAACCTACAACCCTCACAAATATTCCCACTTCTGATGTGGGTACTGTGAATACCCTAACAAGCCTACAGGTGATCAAAATTGAAAAGCATTAAAGTTGTTTGTGATCAATTTATGTTCTTTGGCGTCATCACAATATGAAGCAAAATGACGATCTTATAGACACGCTATCTAAGGTCAAAATGCCAGGTCGGTTCTTTAACTTTTGAAATGTGAAATTGAGTTAATTATGTGAACTGGTCCTATTGGAAAAAATATAACCCAGTACTTACTGCAGTGAATGACATAGAGCGCATTTTTTCGTCGACGAAAACGTGAAGTCACGGACGGACTGATAGACAGACGGACATGGCGAGCACAATAGCACCTTTTTTCCATAAATGAGAAAATGCGCTAAAAAGGGCCTATTTTGGCGTAGAGTGTGCTTTCTTTACGTTTTGGTGTATCAGGCTTTAGCTGAGTACAATGGTAACGTTTTTCTGTTGAAACGGACAAGCAACTTGGGTGGAAGTGGGTAGTTTTGGTGAAGGCGCTGCCTGGATGTAGGCTGTAACATGTTGTCATTGAATTACATCAATAATAGAGATGGAACTCGCACCGATGCTGATTATAACCTGTATGCAAGAGCTTGAAATCAAGCTAAAAAAGTCTGCCGCATCGCAGTGAAAAACTTTGAAAGAAAATATTACCAAAAATGCACAAAAGAACCCGAAAGCCTTTTTGTACGCTATTTTGAACTGTAAGACGAACGACGGTATTTCTGATTTGAAAATAGACCAATGAAAGATATCCTCTGATGAGGGCAAGACTAACGTTTTTTATCAGTTCTTCAGCAGTGTGTTCACAGATGAGGACTTGAACAGTATTCCAGATATTGAGGAGCGCCCAGTCTGCTCAAAGTTAACAGGTTTTGAAACACCTCAAGAAGAGGTTCTCAGGCGCCTGGAAAATCTAAATCTCTACAAGTCATGTGGACCAGACGGCTTCCATCCCAGATTGCTCAAAAAATTATCAATCGTTCTGGCCGGCCCATTGACAGTATTCTTTCAAAAACCTTGAACGAAGGAACTTTGCCGTCCGACTGGAAAGAAGCTCAAGTAACACCATTGCTCAAAAATTGTGACAAAAGTAGCCCCGGTAACTACCGCCCTGTCAGTCTGACAAGTGTTGTTTGTAAGGTAATGGAATCTGTTGTGAGGGATAGGATTATCGATCACTTGACTGTTCACCATCTCCTATCAGACTGTCAACATGGCTTTATTACTGGTAGATCCTGCACCACTAATCTCTTGTCTACGTTGAACGATTGGACTCGCCTGCTGGACGAAAGGGAGCCAGTGGATGCAGTGTACCTCGATTTTGCCAAGGCATTTGACAGTGTTCCGTATGAGCGGCTGTTGCGTAAAGTGAAGTCTTTGGGTATAGAGGGAAACGTACTCAAATGGATCAGAGATTTTCTAGTTGGTAGACGACAACGTGTCTGTTTTAACGGAACCGTGTCAGACTGGGCATCAATGTGAAGTGACGTGTCACAAGGAAGCGTTCTTGGGCCTGTTGACACAAAAGTTTATAATACAGTGAAGAATGCGTCAAATAAAGTTCAATTGCAAGATAATCTTGACAGTTAAGTTAACTGGGCTGATACGTGGCAGCTGCGTTTTAATGCTGACAAGTGTAAAGTACTTCATCTCGGGAAGAACTATGAACAGCAAGATTACAGTGTGGATGACATGGTTGCAACGAGAGAGTAATGATTGAAAAGTCTAGTGTGAAAAAATATTTGGGAGTTTATGTCGACAAGGAGCTGAAATTTTCTAGGCATATTTGAAACACAAGCTAATAAATCCAACAAACTTCTAGGACTGATCAGACGCTCTTACGAGATCCTAGCCTAAATGCAGAAACGATGAAGCTGTTGTTTGTTGCTGTTGTGCGCCCGGACCTAGAGTTTGGAAACGTCGTGTGGTCACCGAAACTTGAAAAGGACAGAAATTTAGTCGAGAGTGTTCGAAGACATGCAACAAGGATTATTCCAGGCTTGAAGGGCGAATCCTATGAAGAAAGATTGAAGATTTATAAGGTTCCAAGGTCTATAAGGTTCCCATATCGACGTCTGCGAGGGGACCTCATTGAAGTATACAAGTATTTTCATGGTTTATACATTGTCCCAGAAAGATTACTAGAATTTGAAACAAGAACCAAGGGCTACGGCTATAAACTAGAAAAATGTGTTGCAACTCATCCACGCGACAACATTTCTTCTCGCTTCGAATCACCGACATATGGAACAGTTTCTCCGATCACATCGTTGACGCTCCGAGTATAAACTCGTTCAAGAACAGACTAGACAAAGCTACGGATAAATATATGTTCAGACTTGAAATGCCTAGCACCATACAAACGTCAGTTTTGAAAAGATCCGGTCGAAAGACCTGATTTTAGATCTCCTGTGGAAAAATCACGAAAAGTACAAGAATCGGCGCAGGCCACATCAGGCTTATTCTTCAGCGCCGACATCACTATATTGTGCTATGCCATGAGAATAGGCTTGGGCTGTACTGCTTGAAAAGGTCATGCAAATTGGTTCAACGTTTATCTATATTTCAGCTTATAGTTTTCATCAAGAAATATCAAAGTGAATTTGAACACGCCAATAAAAGCGCGGTATTAAGGATAGGCTTGTGTCATGATTGTACGTCATCCATCACCATCTCGCTCTGAACTCTAAAGCCTAGTCATTCTGTCGTATTCGAGATATTTACACTATTTAATATTCAATTGTTGCAATTAAAATGTAAAGCATGTAATTTAATTCAGTGCAAGTGGCTGGTTAACCTAAGATTATGTTTATATCTGTGTTGGGTATTTGGTTTAAAGATAATCTCTCGCTGTGACTTTTGCAGTGCGAGTCTCAGTTTCCATGCGATGACCCGGAGCTGGTCGAGCACATCTCTGACCTCCTTGCTGAGCTGGGTTACGACGCCTCCCAGGAGGAGGAGGACGATGAGGATGGCTGGACTGACGCCGAAGATGAACAAGAAATGGAGCGAGAAATCATTGAAGAAGCAGGCGAAGCATCCGATGATGATTTATAGGAAAGGATTTTTTTCTATAAATGTATTTTGCCTGATATCTATTTTCTTGACCTTGATAATGTTTTTTTTTAGTGTTATAGTTAGAAATCGTAAGTCTTTTAGGAACCCCTGAGGAACAGCTATCGATTTCTAATAGGTAGTGCTGTGTTTAATAATAATAGCGGTTTCAGCGTTATTAGGCCGTAGGCCTGTCGCCGATTCTTAACATCGCAGAACATTCACAGCATTTTGCGGTCTCGAACTCGCAACTCACTGCTACAATTCTGCTGTGTTTAACCGCCCAGCCTCCTTGCCGATTCTGACCAGAAACTGGCGCACAGAGCTGGGATCGAACCCGCGCCTCTCTGCGCCAATCTTGGTACTCTGAACTTTAACCACTGGGCCACCTTGTCACGATGAATAACGTCAATGCTATTGATGGCAAGGCGTTCAGCGTTCTTATATTCACTTATAGCAGATTACCGAGAGTTGATGGCCGATATATTATTAATGCTTTAGCACGACGCTCCTTGAATCTGATGTGGGAAAAACTTCCGCGTGATAATCGAAAACAATAGATGGTTCAGGGACCAGTATTGGAAGTAAAACAATAACTCGAGTCATGAGTTGCCCACTCTGGGGAAACAGTCGATTTTGTTCTCTCTAAAATCTTGTATACTATTTTCAGATGATGTGAATAATTAAAAATATAACTCTCGGAATGGTTTGCTACTCGTACATTTTCTACACGCGACCTCAATTCCCCATTGTGATCACAGTTGTGTGCGTGCAGATAGTGGCCATCACTATATGGCAATATCACTATCGCAACCGACACGAGTTGCTAATAATACAAGTCGCTACTATCCATCAGAAATATTTTTCATACATGAAATGATATATATATATATAAACCTTTCGAGTAAAATTCCAAAGGCTTGAACTTTTTTACAACACTTCTCTTTAACTTCACTTCTTGTTGCTTTGTTTGTTTGTCTCTTACAAATCTTATACACGATATTTAGAACACTTCTACCAGTCCTATCGATTTGAAATTTAGCACGCCTGCGTAAAGTCGAAGACAATGCTTGAATGAATTGACAGAATAAATAATTTTAAACAATAAAAACAATTTTTTGTAATTTAAAAATGAAAAAATTAATATTTTTAAATATTTATAAATGCAATTAGAAATTCATTGTACGTGTGTAACATCGGAGACACTGGTCTCTTTAGAAGTGTTGTCTCTAAAAATAATTTCAAGCTACGTACTCGAACATAACAAAATGTTTGCCAGGAACATGTCAAGTGGTGGCTAAAGTTTAATCGCCTTGAAGAGGTGCTTGATCACTTGGATCTTTACGTCAATTCCGTTCAGTTCTGTCTATATTCTATAAGATTATTTAATTACATGTACTATCGGCGATTTTATCTAAGATTTTGAAATCTACTAAAGTAACCTGAACTTTGTTAATATTCTCGTACGCGCATTTGAGGATTGAAATTTCCGAAATTTAGAGATACGAAGTTATGAGCGGAAGTTTGCGCTATGAATGATGGTTATGAATATATCGTGGCTGATTTTAAATGCATGATGAAATATATTTATATAAATGCGATTTTCATCAAAGATTTGAAAAGTTCTGAAGTAAAGTAAACGTTGATTATGATATATTTCAAGGGTTTTACTGTTCGCTAGTTATTAGCAAACTTTGCAATGCCTTGCTGTTCAGACTGTAAAAAAATTTCTCAGGTCCAGTTTATATACGACTCCAACCCCTTGCACTGGCAACACACGAGCAAACTTTGACAAACACAACATTGGATGGATCCACACCAGCCCGACCAAAATTATGGCTGGCTTCCACATGTTTTTTTTTTAAACCTGTTCCTGTTTTTGAAGCAAGGCTGCGAACCTCGTAAAAAAATCTCGACAAGAGGCAATTTTCTTTAAAATAATTCAAGCTGCTGTTGGAATATGACGAGAATTTATCCTCCTCAATAATTTTCTATTGAGGAAATCATAAATTACGACTGAAATTTATCAAAGAAATTCAATGAGTGAATGTGTCGATGAATTTCGATCAACAACTACCAACAATTGCAACCGATTTTCAGAGAGTGGCTTCCAAGTTGCTTCTGGAATTACGATAATTTTGATATCTTCCTACAATAATATATATTCACAGGTTACATTAAATATTTGATAAAGAGAAATATTTTGTTTGTGATAGAGTTCACGAGGTGCATTGCCTCCAGCAAATGTTAGCTCACGAATAAGCGGCTACTTTCTGGCGAGTGACCAGCCAACGCGACTCAGACGATCATGAGTGGCTGCTGATATTTGCATCATAATCTTCGACTAGATGGAGCCATGCGCGTCTAATAAAGCGGTGCGACCTTGGTGTACAAGGTGCAGATCTCGGGAGTTATGATTCGGTAAGCCTACCTTTAAGGCAGGACTGCGTAGTATCTTGATGAAGCCCTTGGAAAAGAATAACCAGTTTAGCATGCCCGAGGCCTGTGTTAGTGCGCTACCCACTTGGCGACGGTGCTGTGAAGCACGCATGCTTGGGTGTGCTGTACCGACACACTTCAGTCTTCAGTGTGTCTGCAGCGCTGCCACCTGAAACATGGACAAGCACGAGCTCAAGGTAAGTCAAAGTTCCTTTATTGTAATCGATTTCTTTATAGCCTAAAGAATTATATCCGTCTAGTGGAGAAGGTACACTGCGTAAAATTTTTCGTTGTTAATTCGCGAAGAGCGACGAGATGTTTGCTGATGATTGACTAACACCTACAGTATAAATGGTGTGTAGTCAATGTCTTTATCGATCAGATGTTTGCCGGTGTAAAAAGGAATCCCGGGAACATTCCTCCATTAGGTTATCTTATGTGATGGAATTTTCTATTTGTTACCTAACCATAAACATAGATTTGCTATTGCCTCTTAACTAGAAAAGGAATTGAATTTCCTTTTCTATTTAATACGGTTTCCATAACGACAGTTCGAATTATATATCGACCAATGCGAAGTCATAACACAAATTGATAACTTTCGCGGCAGCATCTCGGTTTTATCATTTCATTTCTCCGCTGCGGTGATAAACATTATGAGTTCCTCTTATCAGGCGACACGTGCTCTGCAATGATTACGATGATCGCAAGTTGAGCTTCTTGTCAATATATGGTGGCATATATCATCAAATGAAGTTAGTTTTTTTAATCAGCTAGTGCTGGATCTTTGATGAGGAAAGAAATATTTATCCTAAGATAAATGGCCGCAGACCTTCAATATTTCTGAGACATTTTCAAAACGATAATTGCTGCCTAACTTGCTCGCTGCCTCCCGTAACCTTGATCAGCGAGTCTCCGCCTTACCACCGTGGCCCTTATTCTTGACATCCAAAAACAGTTTCTCGTCGGATTAATAAAATCAAATCCTATAATATTATTCAGACATTTAGTATTTAGACTACTTCACTTGTCATGGTAGATTTTATGCGTAAGCGAAATCTTTTATTGTGAGAGACCCTGAGTACTGAAGGACCTTCACGTTCACGTTCCTACGGGGTGTTTTCCTCTTTTTTTTTATATATTAGAATGTTTCTTAAGTTTGAGACTTCGCTCGTCGTTAGTTTGCCTGAGCAAGAAAATAAGTGACCAGAAGGGACCTATGAATTGTTTTCATTTTGCTCAACTGTAGTTACTTTATTTTTGCTCAACGGAAGAGGATATGTAGTAGGTGCCATGCAGTGACGGCAAAGAGGTGACAGTGATTGGCAAGTTGGTGACAGTGACTGGCAAGTTGGTGACAGTGACTGGCAAGTTTATGACAGTGAATGGCAAGTTGCTGACAGTGACTGGCAAGTTGGTGACATTGACTGGCAAGTTGCTGACACGTGACAGTGACTGGCAAGTTGGTGACAGTGACTGGCAAGTTGGTGACAGACTGACAGTGACTGGCAAGTTCGTTACAGTGACTGGCAAGTTCGTTACAGTGACTGGCAAGTTCGTTACAGTGACTGACAAGTTAGTGTCAGTGACTAGTAAGTTGCCGAGAGCGAGTGACAAGTTTGTAGTGCTCAGTGAGGGGATAGTGCGTGACAAAAACTGTCATGTTTGTTGCAAGAAGGGTCATTTTTTGGCAATAACTGGCAAGTTTGTGATCTTTCATGGCACGTTTTCTAACAGTACCGATAGCATTTTTATAATAACTTGCAAAGTTATAACAATAGCTGCTGAGGTTGTGAGAGTGACTAATAAGTTTGTGAACTATTCATGGCAAGTTTGTAACAGTGATGGTCATATTTTTGACAATAACTTGGAACGTTGCGACAAGAACTAGCAAGTTTGTTGCAATAACTATTAAGTTTGTGGCAGTATCTGAGCGGGTTCGGATCGGAACTGGCAACAGAGGCGCTGGAGGGCGCATTGCCGGAAGGTCAAAATTCGCCACAAGTTTGTCCCTACGGCCTCTACGCGGAGCAGCTCTCCGGTACTGCCTTCACCGGTACGATATTTCTCTTGTTGATATAAGTACACTTTTCCCTACCTGAAATATTGCTTAAAAGAAACACTTTCTTGTGCCATCTGGCCATAATGTGTACCTCGTACAGAGTTCGTACAGCCATTGCCTACACTTATTGGAGCGTCTGTAGCGTGACGTTTGTGCCCAAACCTAAAAGTAAGCGACTCATTAGATTATACCAAGACTCAATTCTGGCCACTCCTTGTGTCCGAGGAGGATTGCCTCTTCGTTACAATAAACCACGCAGGTACCATATTGGTCTGCATCATAAAAACTGCCGAATGGTCGTAAAATTTCAAATGACAAATGTTAGTCAATACCACAATTAAAGTTGGTTATTAATTATAATAAACAAATTACTGCTGAGCTAAAATATCATTCTCAACGGTTCGACAATATGATGTATGTATATCGAACATAACTGAAACTCAACAGAAGATGTCACAGTTGAGACGATAACCCGAATTTGTGCCCCATTACCCCGGAGACACGTTTGAGGCAGTTGCCACGAAGTGCCTGTCTGAGAGCATCAAGTGCAAGCCATTCAGAAGGAAATCAATACTCGGCACTTGTCTCATGTTCCCAAAAACGCTTCGATGTTTTGTTACTGTACATTTTCTCATTAAATACCGAGGTGCTTTACTGCGTTTATTTGTGCAGTTCTCGATCAATCCATGGTATTTACTTGTTCCGGTGTACATTTGGTAAAATTTTAGGTGAAGGTCAGGAATGCACATTGTAAGTGATCTTTTGTACGAGTGTTTTCGTTTCCGTTTCTATTCATCTAATGCTGCTTCTGACGAGCCAGCTTCAAGGGGTTGGACACTTAATTGGCACCTTCCGCCCCTTGTGGGAGATGAACGATTCAGAAATTGTTCAATACTTGAAACTTGCCTCCTCGCTGGCAAAGTTTATTTTCGATCTCCGGTGCGAAATCGCTTGATAGCTGAAGCAATAGCAAACCATTCTACTACTAATAATACTTGTATATAATGTTTTCTTAAATATAATTGTTAAGATAACGTGGTGGAGATAACATTGTTCAAATAACATATTGAAGATAATATAGCAAATATAACATCTGGAAACACAATTGTCGTCAGCTCCTCGCGAAGCGAACAAGCGGGCGTGGCTGTACCGCATCCGTCCGTCCGTCGTGCACAAGCCCTTCGTCGCCTCCTCCAGCAAACACAACCTCGACTATGACTTCGACTCGCGGCACCCAAACCCCAATCAGGTGAGGCCACCACTCGCAGCACCCCGACCCTTATAAGGTGAGGCCACCACTCGCGGCACCCCGACCCTTATAAGGTGAGGCCACCACTCGCGGCACCCCGACCCTTATCAGGTGAGGCCATCACTCGCGGCACCCCGACCCTTAAGCCCCAACCCTTATAAGGTGAGGCCACCACTCGCGGTGCCCCAACCCTTATAAGGTGAGGCCACCACTCGCGGTGCCCCAACCCCAACCAGTTGTTGCTGTTGGCAATCTAGCGACGCAAGACCTGCTTCAAGTTTTTACTTTCAAATCGGCATTCCAATTGAGTAGGAAATATTAAAGTATCGGCCGCTGCCACGTTTTTTTAGCTCCAAACACAACAACGTAAATAAATTTGGTGTTGCATTTCATTATTTAATAAATTATTACATATGTTTGATTAGCTGCGCTGGAAGCCATTCAGCTTGCCGAGTGCCCGCACGACGTGGGTGGAGGGCCTGCACACGGTGTGTGGGGCCGGAGACCCCAAGTCCCGCCACGGGGTCGCCATCCACGTCTACCTCTGCAACACCTCCATGGTCGACAGCGCCTTCTGTAACGCTGATGGCGATTTGCTTATTGGTGAGCTTGTAACTCTCTAATTAATGAACATTATGCGTTAACTGATCTATTTAGCTGTTGAAATAAAGACAATTTAACGTTCAATGAGATCCTTACAGAGATTAATTCTGTATATGTTCGCAATACCTCCATGAGGAGCTGACCTTAAAATGCGTTTGCGTGTCCCCAGTTCCGCAGCAAGGGACGCTGCATCTCACCACCGAGTTTGGCCTCCTGAAGGTGGGCGTGGGGGAGATTGTGGTGGTGCAGCAGGGCATGAGGTTCGCCGTTGAGGTGTCGGGAGCAGCCAGGGGTTATGTGCTGGAGGTCTACGACGCCCACTTCGTGCTGCCCAACCTTGGTCCTATTGGTCAGTGTCATGCTTTAAATTTACATATCGTTATCAACTACAAGTATTTTGTCACTTTTGTGTAAAAATTTATACTTTTCATCAATTCTTCGAGGACGTGAGACATGTACCAAGTCAAGCCGTGTCTCTCGTAAGGCCACACTCCGCACCAGATGAAGTAATCTTATGGTCTTTACTATGCACAGTCGCAGCGGCGTGCTAGGTTATGATGCTTCCTGAAGCTTCAAGCTTGTTAGGTTTAGATATTTCGTGTATAAATTGAGTACAGCTGAATAACAAGGCATGAGAGACGTGCGTTTGTTGTCATTTTCTTTTCAACTACGACCAAGAAAGTCTAATTCTACCGCGGCATCCTAGTTCTGCTGTAAAGCATTCGACGGAATCCATCATCCGACGAGTGCTTGACATCATAAGCTTGAGAATAATTTAGGGCCTAAATCTTTTTATCTCGTTCACTTTTTGTTATAAAAAGATCGTTGTGATCTCGTTCACTTTTGTGTGATTTAGGGCACTGTGTGCCCTAAATCTTTTTATCGCGTTAACTTTTTTAATTATTGAATTCGTAATTTTGATTGTTTAATACGTTTAAATTGTACCTACTTTTAATTTCATACTGCAAATTCTATATTTAGATCAGATAAAAGATTAAATAAACCAAGAATTAAAATCCACCATAGAGCACTCAGACCTCCATACACACACGACCTTCCTCGTGATGTGTGTTAATGCAACTTGCCCTCTGTCATTCCACTCTCGTTTTCAATATAAATTATTATAAACCGGTATTAAAACGTGTGATTTATTAACTTTTGTTTGCGCGTTCATTGAGAACGTTCCTAAAAAATTTGCTGAAAGCGTTTGTTGAACATCGCTGTAGAAAAATCTCGTTCTGATCTCAGGTGCGAACGGCCTTGCAAACCCACGGGATTTCCTGGCGCCCGTCGCCGCGTACGAGGACCGCGACGTGCCTTTCACCATCATCCAGAAATACCAGGTTTTATTTCTTTACTAATGCATAGTTCAAGAATTTGTTTACAGTGTTCCGTGTTGCATTCACTTCAAGATCATTATCCCAAAGGCTATGCACAAATATGGTCATGTTGCTTAGTCAATAATGGCCGTTGCCGGACGCCTCGAATAATTTTTGAGTTATGTTCAGATATTGTTAAATTTGGTCATGAAATCCAGTGCATTTCCCGAATCACTTGTTCAGATTAATTGATGAACTCGAATTCATAACCAATGGTATTTCTTATCATTAAAATTGTGACTTCATTATAATTTCAGCACGTAAATATTCTTGAGAAAGAAAGCCTCCAAATCATCACAAATGCTTCCAATTTAGCGAAAGATGAGCTGTAAAGTTGTTGACTCGTTTCCGTTGCCAGCTTTCTAGAGACTAGACCTGACGACATTCACTCGCCAGAACCACCTCTTTGAAGACCACATTTGCTAGCCAGAACCACCTGTTTGAAGGCCCCATTCACTCGTCAGAACCACCTGTTTGAAGGCCACATTCACTCGCCAGAACCACATGTTTGAAGACCACATTCACTCGCCAGAACAACCTGTTTGAAGGCCACATTCACTCGCCAGAACCACCTGTTTGAAGGCCCCATTCACTCGCCAGAACCACCTGTTCGAGGCGCGCCAGGACCACTCCTGCTTCGACGTGGTGGCGTGGCATGGTAACTACTACCCCTACAAGTACGACCTCAACCGCTTCATGGTCGTCAACGCCACAGCCTTCGACCACTGCGTGAGTACACGTCCTGAGTACACGTCGTCTGCTCTGTGAGTACATGTCGTGAGTACAGGACACGACCTCTGCTGCGTAGTGTACACGTAGTGTTCTATGTGTACAGTGATGTGAAGTGCTCTATGTACATCAAATCCATTTTCACTCAATTGATTGGTAACGTTTTTGAACTACAGGCTCACTTCTGCGCTGCCCATCTTAGGATTTGTGCGACCAAAGAATCTATTCTAATGTGATTCATCACTTGTTCTCGCTCTAATAAAGCACGTTTAAATAACAATATAACACATACTAGTGATGAAAGGCTCACCAAACTATACCAACACTTAGCACTATGGCCAGTTTGTCTCGTAATGTTCTAGACAAAAATCCTGATTGGGATTTATTAACCTAACACAATGTCAGTATTTGTATTGAACTAAAATTTAGTAATAGATCTCGAACAAGAAGATATACGCCTGTATTATAAGTTTTTAAAAATAATAATAGAGCGCAAAAAATTGAAGGCCGCTCACTGGCACGCGCACTCGCAACATCTTGAGGTCAATTCAGGTTTAATTAAGAGGGTTGCCACTGAGGAACCTACATATATACATCAATTGATTTGTCGTGTCTTGCGCGGTATTATATTAATGAACAACTGATTTATTTGTGAGGATAGACTCGACCATCAAGTTCAACACATGAATTCGAAAATTAAAGGTCTAATTGCAGGAATATTTAACGTCTTTGAGCACGCTCCAAAATCTGTTTGATTGTAAAAATCCCTTTCATATCTTCTATTTAGGAGGCATTATCATAATAATAATCATGGTCATAATAACCGACGCACTTGTTTTACCACTCGACCCTAACACAATACACTGAGCCCCACACGTCGCGTCTTGACAGGACCCTTCCATATTCACTGTGCTGACCTGCCCGAGCCTCAAGCCCGGCGTCGCCATCGCAGACTTCGTGATCTTCCCGCCGCGGTGGGCGGTCCAGGAGCACACCTTCCGCCCACCTTACTACCATCGTGAGTCTTGCTGCCACACTCAGGGGCAGGACCTTTACTACCATCGTGAGTCTTGCTGCCACACTCAGGGGCAGAACCTTTACTACCATCGTGAGTCTTGCTGCCACACTCAGGGGCAGAACCTTTACTACCATCGTGAGTCTTGCTGCCACACTCAGGGGCAGAACCTTTACTACCATCGTGAGTCTTGCTGCCACTCGGGAGTAGAACCTCCTCTTACTACCATCGTGAGTCTTGCTGCCACACTCAGGGGCAGAACCTTTACTAACACCGAGTCTTGCTACTATATGTGGCCGGTAATCAGTCATAATTTTTAGTTCAGGATTGTCTTACTCGATTGCATAGACTTTAATAATGGAACAGTCCAGCGAGAGTCGTTGCGGAGGCTGTGTCTGAGTTTGTGAGATTTACAGGCCAAAAATTGAACTAGAGGCTCAAGGTCGCATGTATGCATAATAAATGTTAAAGTACGGATGCGTACTTTAAAATGATCGTCATTTACTCTCAACTACTTTAAAGAAATGATTAAAATGTAGTCTACTCCTCAGCTTTTTGTTGAACATCAAGCTAAATCCTTAACTGAAGAAAAGCATGAAGCTTTTTTTCCTGAATTTTTGCTCTCAGCCCGACAACTCTATAAGGTATTATGATTGCATTACAAATTAGAGCCAGAAAAAAGCGTCTCCTACCTCAGTCACAGTCACTATGCATAGGGCGCCAATGATCTGAAAACCAGACTAATAACATTCCGAATAAAATATGCCTAGCAAATATTCTAAAATAATATTCAGGGTAAAATTATGTTTAGGGTAGAATAATGTTCACGGTAGAATAATTTTCAGGGCAGAAAACACAGCAAACTGCACGAAAAAAGAGGGGTAGGTACCGTCGTCTGGAAATAATTATTCCAGCCGAGTATCGGGAACAAAAGTATATAACATAACATAACATAGTGATGTCGGCGCTGAAGTGTAGGCCTGATGTGGCCTGTCGCCGATTCTTTTCCTTTTCGTGCCTTGTTCACAGATCTAAAAAGCTTCCAAAATGTCCGAAATGTATCGCTGACTGTTCAATTTCACTCCTGAGGGGACAAAAACGAGTGGGGACCTCCCAGTGGCGGTTACCGCGGCCCAAACCATCACGGACATGGGATTTTGACGTCGTGTTGCTGTTCTGGTTGTCACAGATCCATCCCGTCTCCAATCTCTGTCATTTTGACGGTTAACGCTTTGTTCAATGTCAAATTTTTTCTCGTCACTGAACACCAAGTTGGGCAGCGTGCCATCCTCAATGAGATCCAGGATGTGCTGGCATCTTTCGAGCCTCATTCGTTCATGACGGTCTGTTAGTTCATGCCTTGTTTGCATCTTGTAAGGGGAGGTTTTGAGGTCATCTTTGATGACTCTACGCATTGATGTCTGACTGACTCCTGCTTATGCAGCCAATTTTGCAGCTGAGCGACGAGTGTCTCTCCTCAACTTCTCCCTCGTGTTTTTGACCAACTGTTTTGTTTTGACACTTCGTTTCCTTCCTTGACCAGGTCGATTGCATGTTTCACCAGTTTCCTTGAATTTTTTTACCACCTTCTACACAGTTTGACGACGAATTTGGAGCTTTTTTGCAATGACTGAATTACTCTCGCCCTTTTCATGATGGTTTACAATTGCATTTCTATCTACTGCCATAAGTAATAGTAAATTTAGACACCTTAGACTTCTGCAATATAAAATAGATGAACTAATAGATGATATTAAGCTTCATTATAAAAGAAAAGTCTCCTAGAAACCAATTTATTTTATATAGCAAACATCCGTTGCCATAAATATGGCGGACCTTGTATAGTGAGCGTCTTGCCTCGTAAGCTGGGTAACGTGACCGGTCATGGAGCATTAGTTCTTCGTTAACTGAAATTTTGTTCGTTAACAGAGGCAAATTTTTACCGAAATTTTTCGTCGTTAACCGAAGCGTTCGTTAACAGAGGTTCTTGGGTACTTCTTTGTGTTCTCGAACATCACTTCATATCAATTGCCTAAGACCTTTACGTATGTTTGCACAAAAATTGCTACTCATATGTCACATTTCGTTTCAACTGTAGGAGAATATTGTTTGGATACTGTTTTGTGGATGATAATGTAGATAACTGGATAACAACATATATACGCGAGAACTCTAATATTGCTCAATAATTTACCACTTAGTTGTACTGTCAGCCACGAACTAATCATCACGTTCGAACAAGTTTCCAAGTTATGATTCAAGATGAACAATATATATCTGATTATTTAATGAAAAATTTTCGAGATAGCCATCACCAATCATTGTTTTTCAGACTTAAATGCTGTACAGAAAAGACGCCTCGGAAGCTTGAGCGTTTGAATTTTGCGAAAGGCGACTATGATAAAGTACGTGAAGCAGTGAATGCAGTGAATATTTCGAACTGTATTAAGGACATGAATGTGGATGAGTCATAATAATTTCTCAAGGACACGGTTATGTCTGCAGTTGATGCGTGTGTACTTAAAATTAAGCTTGGTGGAGCCGGAAAAACTCGGTGGATGAACAGTACAGTTTTGGCTAAGCTGAAAACAAAGAAGGAAGCCTACCAGCGTTATTTACAGACTCGTAGCGATGCTGACTATAACCTATACGCAAGAGCTCGAAATCAAGCTAAAGAAAGCTGTCGCACCGCAGTAAAAATCCTCGAAAAAAGTATTGCTAAAAATGCAAAAAAACAGAAAGCCTTCTTTCTTACGCTAGCTCGAAGTGCAAGATGAAGGACGGTATTTCTGATTTTAAAGTAGATCAACGAAAGATATCCTCTGATGAGGGCAAGGCTAACGTACTTAATCATTTTTTCAGTAGCGTATTCACTGAAGAGGACTTGAACAGTATTCCAGCTATTGACGAGCGCCCAGTCGGCTCTGAATTAATAAGTTTTGAAATACAAGAAGAAGAGGTTCTAAACGCCTTATCGCTGGAAATCCAAACAAGTCATGTGGACCAGACGGCTTCCTCCCCAGATTACTCAAAGAGTTAGCAACTGTCCTAGCCCGCCCTCTGACGTCATTTTTTTCGAAAAACTTTGAACGAGATGGATTTAGGCATAAATATTGTCCAGACTTTTCAATGTTTTACCATAAAATATCTGCACTCAACCTAGGGCTTTAATAGCTGCTAGCCATTGAGGCAAATATAATTCTGAGACTCTGACTGTTGAGCTAAGTTATCACTCGTAAATCTGACTAATCTGCGACTCGGAGTCGGAGTGTATTTGTGTATATTTGTATATTATAATGTATATATGGTATAATATATTTAAGCCTCAAATCGTCTGGTCGTGTTCACAATCAGATATCGCTTATGTTCAGTTCATAATTATAATAATATGCTTAGTAAATATTAAAATATTGTAAGGTATAAAATATTTAAGTCTCCTATCGTTTGATCATGTTCACAAGCAGATATCGCTTGTGTTCACTTTAAGATTATAGTAATTTGCTCAGTAACTTTTAGTAAATTCTAAGGTATAAGAAATTTATGTCTCCTATCGTTTATCGCGTTCTGATGCAGATATCGATTGTGTTCAGTTTAAGACTATAGTAATATGCTCAGTAACGTTTTATTTACTCTAGGGTATTATATATTAAAGTCTCCTAACGTTTGATCGTATTCACAAGCAAAATCGCTTGTGCTCAGTTTAAGATTATGGTAATAATCTCAGTAACTTTTTTCTACATTCTAAAGTATAATATATTTAAGTCTCCTATCGTTTGATCGTGTTCACAAGCAATATCGCTTGTGCTCAGTTTAAAATTCTAGTAATAATCTCAGTAACTTATTTCTATATTCTGAAGTATAATATATTTATGTCTCCTATCGTTTGATCGTTTTCACAAGCAGAAATTGCTTGTGTTCAGTTCTAGACTTTAGTAATATGCCTTGTAATTTTTTATTTATTCTAGGTTATAATATATTTGAGTCTCCTTTAGTTTGATCGTGTTTACAAGCTGAAATTGCTTGTGTTCAGTTCAAGACTATAGTAATATGCCCAGTAATTTTTTGTTTATTCTAGGGTATAATATATTTAAGTCTCCTATCGTTTGATCGCGTCAACGAGAAGATTTCGCTTGTGTTCAGTTTAAAATTATAGTAATGAACTCAGTAATTTTTTTATATTCTAGGGTATAATATATTTAAGTCTCCTATAGCTTGATCGGGTTCACAAGCAGAAATTGCTTGTGTTCAGTTCACGACTATACTAATAAGCCCAGTAATTTATTTTATTCTAGGGTATAATATATCTAAGTTTCCTATCGTTCGATCGCGTTAACTAGAAGATATCGCTTGTGTTCAGTTTAAGATTATAGTAATAAGCTCAGTAACTTCTTGTATATTCTCTAATGTATAATATATTTAAGTCTCCTATCGTTTAATCGTGTTCACAAGCAGAAATTGCTTGTGTTCAGTTTAAGACTATAGTTATATGCTCAGTAACGTTTTGTTTACTGAGGGGTATAATATATTAAAGTCTCCTAACGTTTGATCGTGTTCACAAGCAATATCGCTTGTGTTCAGTTTAAGATTATAGTAGTAAGCTCATTAACTTTTTTCTTGATTGCAAAGTATAATATATTTAAGTCTGCTATTGTTTGATCGTGTTTACGAGCAGAAATTGCTTGTGTTCAGTTCTAGACTATAGTAATATGCCTGGTAATATTTTATTTATTCTAGGGTATAATATATTTTAGTCTCATATCGTTTGATCGCGTTAATTAGAAGATGTCGCTTGTGTTCAGTTTAAGATTATACTAATAAGCTCAGCAACTTTTTATATTCTTACGTATAATATATTCAAGTCTTCTATCGTTTGATTGTGTTCACAGGCAGAAATTGCTTGTGTTCAGTTCAAGACCATAGTAATATGCTCAGTAATTTTTTGTTTATTCTAGGGTATAATATATTTAAGTCTCCTATCGTTTGATCGCGTTAACTAGAAGATATCGCTTATGTTCAGTTTAAGATTATAGTAATGAGCAGTAACTTATTCTTATATTCTAAGGCATAATATATTTAAGTGTCCTGTCGCTTGAGCGTGTTCACAAGTAGAAATTGCTTGTGTTCAGTTCAATACTATAATAATATGCCCAGTAATTTTTCATTTATTCCAGGGTATAATATATTTAAGTCTCCTATTGTTTGATCGCGTTAACTAGATGATATCGCTTGTGTTCAGTTCAAGATTAAAGTAAAATGCACAACAAATTTTTGTATATTCTAAGGTATAATATAGTATAGTCTCCTATCGGTTGATCGTGTTGACAATCGAATATCGCTTGTGTTCAGTTTAAGATTATAATAATATATTCAGTAACCTTTTCTTCATTTTATCTAAAGAATCCTGGGTTGATTACTTAGATACGATATTCGTGATGTAAAGTATTGAAAAAAAAAACGGTTTCGAGATTTATTACTCATATTACGGTTTCTTAAAAAATACATATTCATAAAAGGAACACATTTAAATAACGACTTAATTCATATTAAAAATTTAATTAAATCATATATCAACAAATTACTAATATTATTACTATTACTAATATAATTACTATTATATATTATATTAATATTCTTACAAATATAATTACTAAATAAATCTCAGCTGACAGACGACTCGTAAATGAGTTGGCGAATACAAGAATGCTTCTACTCTAGAGTGGTCGGCTTAAAGAAATGAGGATGCTTTAACATTCTAAGATATAATATTTTTAGTCTCAAATGGAGACTAAATATCTTGTTCACAAGCAGGTATCGCTTGTGTTCATTTTACGATTATAGTAATATGCTCAGTAAATTTTTGTATATTCTATGGTATAATATATTTAAGTTTCCTATCGTTTGATCGAGTTCACAAGCCGACATTTCTTGTGTTCAGTTTAAGATAATAGTACATATAGACAATTCACCATCTACTTTCAAAACCACCAAACAGAAACGCATGAGCTCGCGTTGCAGAGATGCAGTTAATTTGAAATAAGTCAGAAAATGCCAGATCAAAAATAGCAATACCAGACACCGTCCCAAAATACAAAATTTGAGAAATCTGGTATGAAACGACACCAGTTGGCAACGCTTGCAATAAGGAACTTTCTCTAAATGCTTACTAGACTAACATGTCCTTTTGCCGTTACAGCAATTTTAGGGATCAAAAATATACTTTTGGAGCCGAAAGAGGAACAAGACAAATGGACGATATTCAGTCGCAACTGACCCGTAACTACTGAGCACAACGTTTGAAATCAGCGTATTAGAAAATGATTGTATCCCTAACTGAAGTATTCTTACATGATCCTATGTTCCGAAGATACCAAGAGTACTTTTTTCCTCGGCCAGGCAACACCATGACCGAGTTCATGGGTTTGCTCTACGGCAACTACGAGGCCAAGGAGACGGGCTTCCTGCCAGGGGGAGCGACGCTCCACTCCATGATGACCCCCCACGGTCCCGACGCCCAGTGCTTCAACGCCGCCTCCACAGAGGCTCTGGTGCCCAAGAGGGTGGCTGACGGCACCCAGGTCAGTCCAGTGATGTCACTACAAAGAACTCCAGCCATGAAGCCTAAATTGTTTGTAAGAGTCAGATGACAAGTGCATAGTTCATGTGTTCAGTGAACCTGTGTGCATCATGTCCAATTCTTTGAGCTTCACCTCTTAACTCGTCATATCTCTATGATATTGACATCTAGTCGCAGCTATGCGTTCGCATTTTCAACGAAGTGCCTCTTTCACAATTAAAATTGGTCCTCGGCGTTTGTCAAAGTACATCATCGTGAGCGTCTGCGGTAAATAATTTTTTCAACGTTAATAGTAATTGTTGATCGTATTGTGCAGTCGTTCATGTTCGAGACGAGCTTGGGATTGGGGCTGACGGAATGGGGCGAGAAGACCTGCTGTGCCATCGACGACGAATACTTCAAGTGTTGGCAACCGCTGGCCAAGAACTTCGATCCTAACAACAAACCAGTTCAGAAAACAGCAGTTAAGGGCAAGCCAGTCACAGAATAAACTGATAAAGATCCAATGATGGAAATGTGAGCAAATTGGAGCAATTTTCTGCAGGACGCCGGGGCATTATTACAAGGCACATGACTGAGGGTTGAAAATACACGCTGAAAGTTCTTTTCTCTCTTCAATAACCTAAATTTTATCACCATCACTATTACCAAAGCGCATCACCACCACACTCTGTCACCACGCTCCGCAGAGTGTCGACATTGTGCGGTTGGGCCAGTTGGAAAAGTAATAAAACCTTTCATTTGACAATTTATAAAAAGACAATTATAACAATTAAACATATCCCACTAATATCTTACACAAATATTTAATCACTTAAAACAACGAGATATCTTCGTTCATGCACAACATGTACTTGACACCGTAAAAAAATAGCAGTTCATCTAATTCTAACGATATAATCTGCTATTAGATACAGGCGCTTTAATATTCCTTATAAATACTCTCGGTCAGATCAGTCAAGGAAGCGATATTTAGGAAGCGGTCCGGGATATTTACATGGGCTGTGTATATCAAGGGTCATTAGCAAAATAGTTCTATAAATGAAGCTATATTACAACAAATGTAAGTTAATGCTGAAATAGTCTGGAAAAATTTAAGAAAAAAACAACATTTAAGTTATGGTTATACAAAACATCCCAAAGTGGCTGCGCGATATTAAAATAGTGTCAGGGAAATATTCAAATAGGTAGGGAAATATAAGGAGCTAGGGTAATATTTCTAGAGTGAGGGTAAAACTAAGGCGTCCGATTGGCCTTCTCCACTGCCTCCTCCAGCTCGATCTTGTCCCGTATGTAGTGCTCCATCCGCACCCGTGCGTACTCCTGCACCATCAAAAGATACATAATAATCTAAAAGCGAAGGTTGTTATATCTCATACGTAAGATATTATGTACAACAGATATTAAATACCATTCCGTTCAGATGTCGGTATCGTGGTTTTCAAGATAAGCGTGTGCTTAGAGAGCACAATGACGTAGCGGATCAAACCTTTGCTAGAACTCTCAAGTTTTCCCTAACCACTTCGATAATGAGCTAATGACCTTCCACTTCCAGGTACAGGAAGGTGTAATAGCTCAACAAGTAGTATACGAAAAAATTATTAACTGGGCAGGGTGGCCCAGTGGTTACAGTTCAGAGTACCAAGATTGGAGCAGAGAGGCGCGGGTTCGATCCCAGCTCTGTGCGCCAGTTTCTGGTCAGAATCGGCGAGGAGGCCGGGCGATTAAGCAAAGAAAATTTGAAGCAGTGAGTTGCGACTTGCGAGTTCGAGACCGCAAATGCTGTGAATGTTCTGCGATGTTAAGAATCGGCGACAGGCCTACGGCCTAATAAACACTGCAACCGCCATATTATATTATATTATTATAACACTCAACATAATCGAAAACGTTATTGACGCTTCAAGTGCCAGTAAGGGCAATGTCTGTAGGTGTTGCAGATCCACCTGATAACCAGAGGTGTTCATCCGTTATTACGTAGGTAAACGAATGTCTTAATTCAAAAATCAGCTCCCTGACTCACCAGGTGTAGGTCCTACCCGGCACCGAAAGGGGCTTCTCAAAGCAGGAAATCAAAATCACATAAAAAACAATCAACAACCAAATCCTGAAATCTATCCCACATCTGGTCCCCTTTCATTTCCCTGGAATGTGCAATCAGAACTCCGGCTTGAGCCTCGCAGGTGGCTACCTCAAGATCGACAAGCCCCTTGCATACTCAGATAAGCATTTTCCCCCAGTCCGCTGGCTGGAGCTTTTTTGTTCTTTTTTCTCGTCACTGGCAGTCTCATTCCCCAAATTTATGCCCCTACCAAGCAGTTTTTCTACCCTTCCTTCAATCTTACGGCCAGCAGCGTTTCCTCGCTCTGGGACTGCTATTGAGGCGGAAGTCTTCCTGACCTTTATCAAATTATTTGGTCTTTTGCGCAATAACTCACCAAATACCCGAAGGTGATTGAAGACACGTGCCCCTGAACAAGGCTCCAGAGTAGCCAGAATAGATGTCCCGCTAGTTTTAGAACTTGAATCTCCTTCAGTAGCCTCTCTTCTTCAGTAGTTGCTTCTGCGAGCCATTTTTGAAGTCTATTGTCGCACGATCTGACGTGAGCAAGTAGCAAACATTAAACTAAACTTAGTCTCAACACTACGTTATTTTGCCTTAACTTCTAATTAAGAAAAAAATTGTCATAAATACATGTTCGAGTAGAAAATGGGCGATTGGCAAAAACATGAATACCACATGCCTAAAGTCGGGCCAGACTGTCTCTAATAGGGCCAGCCTGTCTCTAATAGGGTTAGCCTGTCCCTGATAGGGCCAGCTTGCCACCAGTTGGGCCACGTGTTCCCATGGGGCCACTGCCATTACCTTGTTGGAGAGACTGTTTCCGGTATTGGTGGCGGCACCTGTTGTCCTCTGGCCGCGTGGTAGGCAGCGAGGTACGGCCTGATGAACGTCAGCTGCGACACAACCACCACAATGTTAGGTTAATATTAGCCTAGGCGACGACTAATGATTCGGTAGACAAACGATTCGGTTAACGTTCAACTACTAAGTAGTTGCTTGCATTGCAAAGTAGTTGCTTGCATTCTTCTACGCTAAACTAAAATGTCATTCAAGACGTAGGATGTTTATTAAAATCTTCCCTGGAAATTGTAAACTAGGCAAGTTAGTTAGTTTAGTGACCAAATGTTTACTAACGCTTCAGCTATTTAGCTATCTCGCACCGAAAGTCAAGATGAACATCACCATAGAGGTGGAAGGTCTCAATTATTCATCACCCACAAGGGGCGGAAGGTCTCAGATGTCCAGACCGCTGAAGCTGGCTCGAAAGAAGCAGCGTTAGCATCTCAAAGAGACGAAGTGACAAGGAGGGACAGGTGAAAAGCAACAGAAACGAAGACACTCGAACAAGAGGTCGCTTACACGGGACGTCGGCCGCCCGCACGAGAGAGACAGAGAAGGGAAATGTAAGGAATCCTACATACATAATAACTTGACCCCACAACTGAGACCTGCAGTCAGACACCGCGAGCTCAGCGGTGGGGCGCTCATGAACAATACCCCTAGGAACGCGAAATCCCATAGGACTTCTGACAACCACAGACACCCGTCAGAAGTCCCCCCTGAGGGGGTAAATTAGGCAAAGTTATAGCAAGTACAAATAATGTCTTGTAAGGAGAATGCTTTCATGCTGACCTGCTCGTTAGTGGAGGGGTAGTCCTTCTCGTGGACGGTGAAGTATGGGGGGCGGTCGAGCTTGTATCCGTAGACGCGCTCACCGAAGTGGTTGGCGAGGTCGAAGCCCCTGTAGTTGTAAGCGCAGTACTCGAAGTCGATCAGAGCAACGCGACGCGACGAGCTCGACTTCTGCAGCAGGATGTTGCCCTCCTGCAGGTCGTTGTGGGCGAACACGACGGGGGAATCGACCTGGGCACTCAGTTCCATGACGTAATTCAGCTCTGCGACGCCGTCGAACTCCCGCAGCTGGTCCACCAGTTCTTTGTCCATGGAGCTGCTGCGTAGAAAGTCGGCGCTGGATTTCAGCCACCTGCCATGAGGTTTCAGTGCAAAATAAAGGGAGACGCCACTTGATCGCGAGGCCTTAGATTATTCCTGTCCCATTAAAAAATGAACTTCAATAAATCCCCTAAAAATATGCGTCTGAAAATGAGTATTTTTATGAACAGCTACCAGAGGAAGTCTTTACTTTACATGAAGCCAAAGTGATCATAAATTTTTACATGCATTTATATATTAGATAAACATTCACTACATTTGGCTCTGGTCGCAGTAAAACTTGATGAACGACACAATTCCCTCCAAAGTAACAATGAGATGCATGCCGGAGGCAATCTTAGTCTAACCTTACACTTTGGTTCGTATTGTTTTTGGAGTATAAGCAAGCCTGGAAACATAATTAGCCCATGAAGTCACAGCCTAAACTTGAATTCATAGCGCCGCAAGATCGCAGCCAGAGGTTAAACATTCTCGACCTTAAGCTTAAAGTTTTTTTCCTGGCCTAACCTACACACACGGAGCCCTTGGCTGCACTCACTTCGTGATGGATGTCCAGAGCCAGGTGGCTGCACTCACTTCGTGATGGATGTCCAGAGCCAGGTGGCTGCACTCACTTCGTAATGGATGTCCAGAGCCAGGTGGCTGCACTCACTTCGTAATGGACGTCCAGAGCCAGGTGGCTGCACTCACTTCGTAATGGACGTCCAGAACCAGGTGGCTGCACTCACTTCGTGATGGACGTCCAGAGCCAGGTGGCTTCTTTGCTGATCGGGACGTCCAGGGCGTGGACGCGAGCGATCTTATTTGCGATCTGCCGCTGCAGGTGCGCGTCACACAGCTCCTCCCGTAGCAGGGATCGCGCCTGGGGAGATTACATTAGATAAGAACATTAGACTGCAGTTACAGTGCGACTATAACCTTTGATTGAACAGTGCAAAGTACCCTTAGCTGTGCAAACTACCTGTAACTGTCCAAATTAACGGTAACTGTGCAACTTAACGGTACCTGTGCAAATTAACGGAAACTGTGCAAAATAACGGTAACTGTTAAAATTAACGGTAACTGTTCAAATCAACGGTAACAGTGCAATTTATCGGTAACGGTGCAAACAAACGGTAACTGCAAATTATCGGTAACTGTGCAAACTACTTGCACCTGTATCTGTACAAACGACTTCTGATTCTGCAAACTAACTCAAACTGTGCGAACTACAAACGTTCAAAGTCCACGTAATTATTCGAAAAGCGAAATCGACATCATCCCAACATCCAACTGGGCCCGCGCTATCGTGGCCAGAATGAGAACTAGAATGATGCAACGAGAATGATTTATGAGAATGATACCATTGCGCTGTACCCACTGAACTAAGTACACATGGATACAGGCTAGGAACACACAAACAGGAATGTACCCATGAGAACCCATATCGGTCAAAATTTACCCACAGAAATGTACGCTTTGAAATTATTTCACGGGAATATATCCACAGGAATTCTATCACGGTAATGTATACAAGGAATTCTAGGCGCGAGAATTTAACAAAGGAATTCAATTGCGCGAAAGTACCCACAGGAATCCTATGACATTAATGTACTCAGGGGAATGTACCCACAGGGATCCTATGACATTAATGTACTCACGGGAATGTACCCACAGAGATCCTATGACATTAATGTACTCACGGGAATGTACCCACAGAGATCCTATGACATTAATGTACCCACGGGAATGTACCCACAGGTATCCTATGACATTAATGTACTCACGGGAATGTACTGCTCCAGTCGTCCGCCAGGGAAGATACCGTAGAGCCGCGGGCCGAGCCTGCGCTCGGACAGCAGCGTGAAGATGACGCTCTCTGCCAACATGTTCTCCAGCGCGTCCTCTCCATGCATCTGCACGCCACACCTCCAGCGTTAGGCTATCTTAGTAAGGTGTCTTTATAATTAGGGTGGCTCAACCATTTGTTTATATTAATACATATGTAAAGCTTTTCTGGGGTTATGCATTCTTCATAGATTAATGTTTCAGGAGTGAACCCGCTTCATCTACAGAGTCTGCACTCTGCAGTGCTGGTTTAGATTACTATTTTATAAGTGAACCCGCTGCTTCCACTGAGTCTGCAGTGCTAGTTTAGGATACGGTAGAAGAGTTCCCGCCCGAACAAGAAGAAGTTAATATGCCGATATTATCTTAACCGCAAAGTTACAAGGTAAACACGCTATTTGTGCATCAACAACTAGCAGCTGTAGCGAGTTAGGCATCCCCCGAGCTTCATTCTGTGTAGCAGGTTAGAATTCTCTCAGGCAGCGGAGGGAGCTACACCCTGGCGTACAGATTCGGATTGGACTCGCGAGACATTGCAATGAAAAAGCTCATAAGAGAGGCTAAGTATAATTACATAACGGCAGAGGATATATAACTTAGGCCCTAAATTATCAAAACAATCTCAATATTTTCTAGATCTGTCGTCATTTATTGACGCTTACGGCATCTTGAGAATCGAGGATAGGCTCCAAAGTCATCATTATATATTTTAATAAAACACTCGGCGAACATTCGATCTAATTATTTCATGTCTCCATTGAATCACCACCAGGTTAATTTTCTTTTATACAAACGACACGTCAACCATAAAGCTCGCAGAGATGCTGGCCTCTATTTGGAAATACAATTGAACTGAAACAGTTACTTACTTGTAAAACCTTGCGTAAGTGACGTAGAATTTGGGCTACGTTTCACCAGTAGATGATGGCGTATCTTTTCTGGCATTGATTTTATTGATGATGGCATTTGAAAACAAGTTTTTCTTGGCGAGAAAAACTGTTGTTATCGTGGAAGTAAGAGAAATTGTTAACTATAGCCATGAAGGTCGAACGGCGACATAGACTCGCGAGATTGATATGCATTGACTCTGCAGAACACTGAGCCTTCGACCCTCTGCCCTCGAGCTACAAACTTGGCACAAAAAAGATCGTGGATGCGAGTATTGAGCAATGAGGCCGTATTGGATTTCAAGAAGTAAGCATACCAAACATGCATTGTTCGATGATGGCAAAGGTAATTTAGTTTGGACTCTTCTTGAAAAATGGGATTGGACACAATTGATTTGATACAACATGCAAAAATAAGATTAGATCGTACTTGAAGTAGATCGTATTAAAAAAAATGGAACCGTAGCCTAACAAGAAGTAAAAGAAGGCATCAACTATAGAGTACTAACCACAGAACATCAGGTACAGGAAAGCAACTCAAAACACAAATATAGCATCAACCGAAGAGCACTAAATGAATTAAGTTATTAGAACTTACCTGTCCGTATAGCCTTAGCAGCACCTCTGATGGCTCGGCAGCGATGGGTGTGTGGGGGTGGGGGAGGGCGCAGTAGTATAGATGGTTGGACAAACCTCCTCTGCGCACGTCACAGAAACTTTAAGATTCAGTACACGTTGAAACATAAAATATTGGCTAAACCTTTCCGTAGTGCAATTGCCACATCGGGATATTGAGTAATTATAGTAACAAATTTGAGAGTAATCATTTGTTCGGATATATTTCCATGTACATTATTATTGAAGCGTCCCCAGTCAGCCAATATAACACTGTTATCGCTGGTATATTATTATAATTAATCTGGATATAATTATTCAGGTTCTCGATATAATCAGTGGTACTCAGCACAGTTTCTCTTTCTCGTTTCATTTTGTTCCCGTTCCTTTCTTTTGAGTATGCTTAATTCTGTTGAAAGGATAAGCTTGAAGGTTTCCAAAAAAAATTTAATAAATAAATACTTGAGCGATATTGAATAATCAAACTTTTTTTGATGAAACCTCTTTAATTTCCAATAGTGGGTAAATTAAATCTTATGAAGTACCTACATGATTGACGGGGAAGATATTTTTTCTCTAAATTTATAGTAAAAAAAATCTAAAATCTTTTCGAATCAGAGATTTTTAAAAACGTAAGGAAGTAAATAATTTGCAAAATAGCTTTTAAAAGCATTGATTGTATTGAAATGCAACGATGAAGTTTATAAAGAATGGACCGCAATATTTTGAAGTTTTTAACCCTTTCTATTCTTACGGGACCGATGGTCCCTTTGCATACGAATAGCATTGACGACGGTTAATATATCCATAGATAAAAGAATGAAATGAGCGTTTATATATATATGATTATTTATGATCTTCAAATAACTCAAGAGTCTGGTTGGTATGGGCAACGGTCTTGAGCAGCTCGTAGGCGCTCGACGCGAACAGACGACGAGCGGTGAAGCGCACCTTCCCCTCAATGCATTTTTGTACGTAGTATTGAAATTAAAAACTCTGTCTCTAGAGTTGAATTGCTTAATGAATATTAATGAATTTCTTGGACATGCACATCCTTGAGCTCTTGGGAACTGCGTCACGTGTAAGAGACTCTCAGGACACTATTGATTTATTGGCAGGATATGCGAAAATTTAATCAAAAGACATTCAGGATTCTTTGATTAATAAAATTTAAACAGCAGTTTTTCTAAACATGATGAGGCTCCAATACATTAAGCAAGTAAAATAATTAAGAATACAATTTTCCATCTCGAATTAGTCGTGCCAAAATTAAAATCTATTTTCATAAGAAATTAGCCAATTTACTTGCGATTTTTATACTTAATTTTTTTAGAGATCTATACGTACCTTACCAAGCGTTTTCATGTCAGTAGATGAAGATCGCCCGTGAAACTGAATGTTTTCCTACTTTGATTCAACCAAGCACGAAACATTTGTCCATGCTCAATGTAACGGAATACTATATAGTAATCAATGTCCCAAAAGAGAAACTTAGAATAATTCGTTTAGTACGGATTTCCTGGAAAATATTGTGTAACAACAAACCTTCCTGAACCTAACCGACCTCCAAAAGAACGCGAGTTAAGACGTCCTCGACTTGGTATACTATGTATAGTTGTACGAAATGTACAATGTACAAGACCTACTACGTAAGTCATGTTCTAGCATACAGGTCCCCCACTTGTTATTCAGAGTGAGAACCAAAGTCTGTGCACGACCAAGTGCAGACGTGCTTGCAAACAGCGTCATGTCACGCACACGTCTTTCAAGTCTCGAAAGATAAGCTAGCAACTAACAACTGTAATTACTTCAGTCACAATATCGGGACCTTCAAGTGACGTACTTGCAGTCTGGTCGCTTGAACTGGCCCTTGTTTTTCCTCTCACTAATGCATCGTGGCTGTATGAACGAGTGTCGCACTTGTTTGTTTTGTTTAAATATATGCATGCATTATGAATTAATGCAAATCACGGTCATGGACAAACATGGGAGTGAAGCAATAAATTAGACCTCCGAGTGCATTAGGTGCGCAGCATACCAAATGTAAGATGGAAATTTCCAACTCTGAACTCCTGAAGTAAGACGCAGTTTGCTTCAAATACAAACCAATAATATCACGTCATACTGACTTATCGTCAAACTTCAAGAGGCAGCCCTTGAAGAACCACTGAACATTGCCATGCTTCACTTTAACCCTTCGATCATAACAAAACTACAGACATTTCCTTCACACTCAGATTGCATTTAACCTTCAGCACAATGAGACCATAACCAATATTACACGATTTCAAGATTATGAAACGACCGACCGATTTTGAGTAGAATTCTGCAAGCACAAAATTGCTGACGCCGACAAAAATTTTTCCCTGTCAACAGAATGAGCTAAAGAGATAATCCACATCGAACAAGCAACGAGACGATCTTTCTTGCTAGCGCAACGAGACGATTACTCTTGCATACGCGACGTGCGACGTGGGCATCGGCAGGCGACGTGCGACGAGGTCATCAGCAGGCGACGTGCGACGAGGGCATCGGCAGGCGACGTGCGACGAGGGCATCGGCAGGCGACGTGCGACGAGGGCATCGGCAGGCGACGTGCGACGAGGTCGGCAGGCGACACACACACAGACGTCCACTAAGCGCTGCAGTTGATGACGCAGGAGCGGGCGGCGCACGCGACCGGGTGCCGATATGAAGGCTGATGTCGTAAGCGTAACTTTCTTCAATTTTATCAACGACAAAAGCAGTATATTTCAGACAACTATTCTATCAAAACAGAAATGCTTACTTCTATGAATAACAGAGAATTAAAAAGATAGTTATTTGTGTGACTCATTTTTTTGACGTACTGCGTCTCAAAAGTGCATTTCAACGGAACGAAAAAAAACGTCGTCTGAAAGTGACGGCTCAGCGGCCTTGACAAGTATGCCAAGCCTGCGGCGACGCGCCTGGCATCGAGCCATAGCCATGGCATTCCTGCCGATAGCGTCACAAGGGCGCAAACATAACAAACAATACAAACTTTCTTTTGTGGATACCGGAATAAAAACAAAATTCATCAAGTTTCGTCAGAAAACAAATTGTTTGTAGTCGAATGTCTATACAAGATATATAGGAGAGTGTGCATGGGTATTGGGCAAGTGATGGTTGCAGTTGCGCCATCGTTTACATCTGCAGCCGCGTCATGCATCGTTCATATATTTCTGCAGCCGCGTCATGCATCGTTCATATATATCTGCAGCCGCGTCATGCATCGTTCATATACATCTGCAGCCGGGTCACGGTTCATGTCTGCAGCCGCGTCCTCTTCTAGCTGCCCCTCAGGGGGGACTTCTGACGGGTGTCTGTGCTCGTCAGAAGTCCTATGGGATTTCGCGCTCCTAGGGGGATTATTCCTGAGCGCCCCACCGCTGAGCTCGCGGTGTCTGACTGCAGGTCTCAGTTGTGGGGTTGAGTTATTATGTAGGTAGGATTCCTTACATTTCCCTTCTGTCCCTCTCGTGCGGGCGGCCGACGTTCCGTGTACGCGACTTCTTGTTCGAGTGTCTTAGTTTCTGTTGCTTTTCACCTGTCCCTCCTTGTCACTTCGTCTTTTCGAGATGCTAACGCTGCTTCTTTCGAGCCAGCTTCAGCGGGCTGGACATTTAAGACCTTCCGCTCCTTGTGGGTGATGAACTATTTTTGATTTGAGAAACTTTCGATAACCGAGACCTTCCACCTCTATGGTGATGTTCATCTTGACTTTAGGCGCGAGATAGCTAATTAGCTAAAGCGCTAGTAAACATTTGGCCACTAAACTATCTAACTCTTCTAACGCTACAGCTGCGCCATCGTTCATATCTGCAGCTGCGTCATCGTGTTTGGCTGCAGCTGCGTCATCGTGTTTAGCTGCAGCTGCGTCGTCGTGTTTGGCTGCAGCTGCGTCATCGTGTTTAGCTGCAGCTGCGTCATCATGTTTAGCTGCAGCTGCGTCATCGTGTTTAGCTGCAGCTGCGTCATCGAGTTCAGCTGCAGCTGCGTCATCGTGTTTAGCTGCAGCTGCGTCATCGTGTTTAGCTGCAGTGGCGTCATCGTCTTTAATACAGCTAGACAGTCTACAATAAAATTAACAATGCAATTCATTTAATGTCCGTAGGAAGAAGTAACGGTCGTAGCGTATCATCCCAACAACAGACGAATACTCCATCACAGAGCAACATTCATCGATTTGCTGCGCCTGTCGTGACGTCATAAAAGACGATGTAAACCTGCTGCCTGGATACTGTCTTATTTGTCAACACTATATTTCGGGTACGTATCTAGGTGGTCACGATCGTCGTAAGTAAGATTACCAGCTGTTGAACCGGACACTGTGATCATCACTCAAGACTGACGAAGATTAGATTTAACAAGACCGGAAGTTGAGATCATAGAAATGAGGTTACGGGTCGGAAATACTAAATACTTTTATGTGATAGCGACCGTTTGGCAAGCACCGAAGGGTTGAGGTCGGTAGTCATCGGGTAGAGATAAGATAAGAACTCGCGTGAACGACGCACTTCGACTTCTGCAGAAAATGACTTACCTGATCGGGCGAAGATTCTTGCAGTAGAAAGAAACTTGCCTGATCTGGCGAAGAATCTATGTGTAGAAAGAGATTTACCTGATCTGGGACATAATTTTGCTGTAAAAAAAGACTAACCTGATCTGGAATAGAATCACGCCGTGGAAAAGGACTAACCTGATCTGACGCAGAATCATGCTGTCTTGATCGATAAGTTTCCACGACCCCAGGAGGTAATCCCTGCAGAGTTGGTAAGCTCGGCTCCTCATGGCCTCGCTCTCTTCTGCAATACCGGACATCTTTGTTCAAAAGCAACTTCTCCGAGCTCTCGGGTAAACATTTAACAGAGCATTCACCAAAATACTGCAAGCGAACGATTGCAGTTCGAAGTCACGAAATGATACCTAACCAGAAATTTGAAGTATTTTATTCTAGTGAAAATTAAGCAAACTTCTGAATGAAGAGGTATTATATGAAATTACTGCAAAAATTAGACTAATAACGCCAAATATTATGAAGCTTTTCCCTTGAGGTTTTCTTCTTCAAGATTTCCGGTGCGACCGACGACCACACTGAACGAAAGCTGTTGGCGTATTGAGATGTTGGCACGAACGCAAGCACAGTGCCGTCAGCCGACTTATCGATCGATATATATACAAATCTACATCAACGTAATACAACAAAGTACAAACTCGAAAAATCATCAATACATGCACCCAAAAGCACTGACTGACACTAAAAACTTACTAGAAATAAGATTTATTTGATGAAACTTCACACGCAGAGCACGTTTGGTTGCAACTGAGCTTTTTGTCAGTTATTGATGAATTTTCAAAGAGAAAAGTTTCTTTTTATGGGAGACCATTGCAAAATAGATGTAACAGCTTTTCAATGAGCTCAAAGCCTCAAACAATCGCACAAAAACTTTGATGTCGATTCCCAAGAATTTGAATCGACAAATAGATTTAATATTAAGTGATACTGTTTGATTAACTTGTCCGATTATTAAATTTGGCAAAGGATTCGCCTAACGCTTCCCTTCCCGAGCGGTTAGCCCGAGTTGCCCGATCAAGTTGACCAACGAATAAACAGTCAAGTAGACGGTAAAGTCGGTAATGTAATAAACTTTTTAGTTGCTTACATATTCAGTTTCATTAACGCTGCTTTTTGAACATTTATCACATCTTTTTACAATAAAATTTACCTCACATGTAGGGCAACGTGGGGCAGCGCGCCCCCCACTTTTTTTAAACTAAATTTTTAATGAAGTTTTAATTGATACGAGGTGGTTCTTTGTTTTATTTAAACGATCACAAGACAACACTTACGATCACAAGAAAATAATGACGGTCATAAGACAACACTTACGATCACAAGACAACACTTACGATCACAAGAAAACAGACGATCACAAGACAACACTTACGATCACAAGACAACACTTACGATCCCATGACATGAAGACAACACTTACGATCGCAGGATTGTTGTGAATGCCGGGCTACAAATCATCATAAACTACACTACACTACACTACACTGATTCACATTATAATCACTGGGCTACACACACGATCACGAGGCAACACTCATAGGCATTAAGCTTCACTAATAATCACTGAGCTACACATACATTCCTTAAGCTATACATCCAAGCAAAGGATACACTCACGCCCAGGCCCTAGGATGTCGTAGGACTCCACGAGCTGCGCTGCGTCATCCATGTCCTACAGTCAGCCGTGCGCTGCAGCACCTGCTGAACTAACCCAGCCCAAGAGGTCCTGGCGACAACATGTCCCGCTGTGTCCTTATCGTCCACCAGATATTAAGATACGAAGAAATGATTGATATCTCGGTCTTATTTGTTATTCTTTATATTATTTGATTATAATGTTTACGGTATCTCGTTGTACTTTAATTTCTTCGTTTATTTGATTATTCAAATGTCGGTATGCCCTCATTCAACCTCTTTTAATCAAGTCTCGGTGTTCTCTCATTTACATAACGGTTATTTTAACAATGGATGTTCAGGGGTATCATATCAATGCATCGGTGTTCTCTTATTGATGTCTAGGTTATCTTTCATTCAGGCCTCATGAATTTTAATTCATGAGCCAGAATATCTTCATTCATGCTTAAATATTTATTTTCGAATATTTTGGTATACCTTCTTTCATATTACGTTGTTCACTTTCAAACTTGTAGGTCACTGTGCAATTTTTTACGTTATTTTATGCCCGGCAAGGTTAATTTAACATTGACATTAAACCAATCAGAAGTAAAACATTGTTCATAACTCATGCGGAAAATGAGTAAATATTAAACGATGTTCGCCCTGTGTTATGATAAATTTTTTCATTAGAATGTGGTCGAGCATGCTCAACGATAATCGTGGTTCGATGATAAGATAACTACTGAAAATCTGGGCGAGATAACATCTTGGTGAACACAACAACGCAATGGGAAGTGCAGGAGTTGTAGAACCACGCAAGAAAAAGTTCAGAACTACGCAATAATATGAAATTAAAAACGCAACATATAGAGTACAGCTTTTAATTATAATACAAGCACTCAACAAAAATGTCTGTTCGAGCAACCTAAAAAAGGGTAAAACACCAAAATTTAATTAAGGTCCCGTTCTATAATCGATATCGAAAGCCCTCCACTAAATCAAATTTATTTGGCTCCTGTCAATGCAGAATATTGTAAGAGATTATAAGCCCTCCAGTCAATCCCAAATATCGTTTGATCCACTGTCTATCCCGAATATCGTAAGCCATTCAGTCAATCCCAAATATCGTTTAATAACGAGTCATACCCTATGGAGTCTCATCTGTCAGTCTTGAATGTCGTACCTCGTCTACCAGCATCAAAAATCTCAAACATAATAGAAAATCCCGCTTCTGGCTACGGGCTAAACTGCTGATTGGCGACGGTAAATCCTGGATTTATGAAGCTCAATGCATAACCTGGTCGTATTTCTAATGTTAGTTATCGAACGCCTAATCCAAAAATTATTCACAACACAAAAACACTCATCCCAAGCATGATACTAACAATCTTCAGCTCCATATCATGGCGCTAGTATCATACCACTTGAAAACATGACGATAACACTCCTATACAGCATGATAACACTTCCATTTTTGCCCTGGCCAAGCTCTGCCGTTGTGGACGCCGTAGTTGTGGTCACTGAGTGCTCACGCGAACATTTATGGTATTAGGCATTATACTAAACAATTTCCATCCTAAGAGGGATTTAAATTATAGTCTTAATTATACAGTAAGCATATGATCAGTATAACGATAACCATATAGATTTGTGACTGCTGTGTTTTCTGCATTGGTCATATATTGTAGTTTGATCGTGAGTTTAAGTGTTAAACGATGTTTGTTAATATACATATTACAATCGACGAAAAATAGTTAACAAAATCCTCATCATACATCCGTTTATGAATATTTACAAGGTACATTTTACGTAAGATGCACGCCATTTCTCTAGATGCATAGCTGCGGAGTGTTTTAAGACACTTCTTGATGATGGGTTCAAATATTATAGCGCTATGATAACGAAGAAGCATGTTGTTGATATTAATTATTTCAAAAACAACATATTCTTGTTATTATTTGTTTGAAGGTCTCGGACAAATTTACGGCCGGAGTGTTTTTAGTTTTTTTTTAAATATAGTGTTTTATGGGTTTTCTGTTTTTTTTTTGTGTGTTTTAAATGGAACCTGTACCTAACTGGACCTAACCTGCGAGGTTTTCGTAGATTGGCTAGATTTTTCTATGTTAGAAAAAACCTCGGCTGCTGGTCCGGGCCCGGCCGTAAATTTGTCCGAGACGTATTGTTTCATACGATTGAAGGGTCAGCCTACAGTCAAACGAAGTACATATTAAAAGTTACTATCGTACTGTATCTCACCAATTGCAGTCGATTTAGTATTTTATAATGCACGCAAATTATAACAGGTAATCTATTTTTCTAAAAATACTATAGAGTGGTTTCTCCACCAGATGTGTGACGAATTAGGTTTCCGTTAAGACGGATACTTATTGTAGACGGAGGAATGCGAGAACTATACTCAGCTGTTTTGGAACTCCATCGACCATCGTTATCATGCTACCTTTTCCTAATATTTCAAATTCAATGTAAAATTATGTCCCTAACAGTCTCGCATGAGGTATTCATCCAATACATCCCTGGACATAAAGGAATCTCTGGCAATGAGACAGCAGATCAGGCAGTCCGGGATGCCCACTCTCTCTGATATCGCACGGTATTCCCACCATCACCCCAATGTCCAAGGTCAAGGAGGAGCTGGTGAGACTCGCGCATGACAGGGTCCAGGCTAGCTGGAACCAATCCTGGCTGGACAATGTCAACAACTCAGGCAAAGGTCAATTCCTCACAACCATAAAACATGAAGTAAGTTAGTAAAGTTACTGGCCTTGGGCTCATAATAATAAACGTTCAATAGAGACTATTATAGAGACTGCCTTGGCTAGGCTACGCTTGGGGCCATGGGCCATGCTGGTGTTAGGGCCCATTTAGCCCGCTTTAAGATGTGTGACAGACTGACAGTCCACTCTGCACTTGCAGTTCTCCTGAAACCATAGAACATTTGCTGCTTCACTGCCCAGTCTGCCCTCAGCATGCCCCTGTGCAAGCCAATTTAACCAATACTCTAGCCCGGCTCAATATCCCCGTCACACTGCAGAACTTGCTTGGCGCCTGGCGGGGGCACCTATCCTAGCCCTATCCAGTACTTAATAGTTGATGCAGTAGCTACATTGTTAACAGCTACTAACAAGTAACACCCTAGTCTGTCACCCTTCATTCACTCTGAGAAATACGATATCTCTCATAGCCCTGATTTAACTAACTAAAACTTGTGGGGAACTAACACTCAAATCATACTTATTTACTTACTGCTGGCATTGATCTGAGTGCCTAATTTGAGGTGAGCGGAAAGCCGGAAACACTCTCTGCACTCTGCAGTCTTTTTAGGAACAGGTTTTAGGACTTCTGTGACTGTGTATCGCTGGTCGTGACTGCTCTTTGTAAAGTTTGTTGCTGTTCGTGTTCACCTTAAATCCATCCTTAATCTTTGATCCTTCAGAGACAGCCCACAGGAGTTTTGTTTGTTTGTGAGGTAGCAACTCACAGTCCCATATTCTTAGACCAACTTGGTCAGAAGAAGCTCCAGGCTGTGCCGCCCAGGCTGGACCTTCGGTAGAATCCGCAATCTCATGTGAGGCATAGTGTAGGGCATGTCAGTAGATACTAATCCGGGATGATATACGAATACGAATGTTTTTTTAAACTCTTCTCATGCAAATAGTCACATATGTTATCTTACCTAGTAGCAGCAATCTCTTAACCAGTCCGCTTTTTACAGTGTCTTATCCCTGTTGTTTTTCCCCACAGACATGTGACACCTGAACACCAATGTCCGGTTGAGGGGCTACCTTGGACAAGTCTCCTGAGCTCCTTCCAAATTTTGACTAAATAAGAAGAAATCCATCATTACTCCTAGTTTGCTAGGTGGGCGGTGCGACAGTCTTCCCTGCGCACTGAGTGCGCAGGGACATTAGTGATTAGACTTGTCATATTTGACTTGGGAAGTGAAGTCTGGAAAAAGAAATTTGAGTACTTGAGCTGTAAGTCGTTGACCACAAGTTATTAAGAGTTACAACCATGCATTGCGTGATTTGCGTCTTTGCACGATCTGGCTGATTATGACGTCTGGCATAACCTCACTGTCCAAGACCCAGCCCCCAGGGTGCAGAGTTTGCAAGCAACGACGCCAAGATATGGATTTTAAGCACAAAATGATGCCAGCAGTATTTGGAATTCATTGGCAGCAGATTCAAATTCAAGATGCGTCGCTGGGTAAATTTTAATAAGAAAATGCTGCTAACAATTTTGATAGCATGTCCCTTACTAAGTTACTCTCCACATACTGCAGCAATCATTTGCATCACAACTGTTTTCAAACAAGATGCATGGCATCCTGATACATCCAACATACTGGAAACCTTACCATTTGCGCCGTTAGTCTTTCATATATATATTTTAATTTATTTTCTAAATACATCCTAGACAATCAAAGAACTCTGAAACTTCTTAATGTTATACATCTTCAACAAAAATATTTACCAACTACTGTTATTATTCAAAACTCAGAATTGAGATAATAATCAATTATCTGGATTATAATCTCTTGATTATTAAACCATAAATCAGTATTTCATCATTCTAATTACTGAGTAACAAATAATTTTGTTTAATTTTCTTACAAATTCTTATGAGAGAATATGCTTTTAGCAATAAAGCCGTGATAATCTTCTACATTCTTAGGCCTCAATTTGGAATATTATGCAGAAGTCTCCTAAAATTGCATGCAAAAACAATCATTTCACAGATGATTTTCCAATATTGCTGATATAAAGTGTCCCTTTTTCTTATTGTTCACTAATGAGATTAGAATAAGCCTAATAAGGCTGTAAGCCTGTAGGAATGGGCAAAATTGGCCAGATTCACAGGCATTTTGGTCTGATTCCTGGGTGGCTTCTGCCCAATTTCCCACTTTAGGTTAGGTCTATTGTCTATGGTCAATGATGGAGTCACCCATCAGCTGATGATACTGCACTAATGCACTTAACTTGACACTTGTCACTAGACAGCATTTAATACTTGTCACTTGTCAGAACTATAATTGGTTGGTTTTGGCTACCACAGACATGTATAAATATTGTGACTTGGATTCAATTGCACCAAAAAGTTTTTGAGATTTGTTTATTAAATTGATCATTTCTCTTGAAGGCTGGCAAGTTAACATTTCCCAACCTCATTCTAAACTAAATTGTTCTGCAATTAGCCAACTGTCTTTCCCACTTTTTCATTTGTAAATAAATATATGATTAATACAAGAAATATATTTCTTAATATAGAAGTGCTTAAATTTGGGAAAAAATATCAGTCTGCTCACTCTGCTGTATTCAGTCTAGGTAGACAGCATTCTTAACTTTCAATTCAAATGCTAAATTAACTGCCTGTGCTTTTTATGCTTAGTTTTGTAATAAAATAGCATATCTGTAATTAACATTTGAAAATATGAGTGACATACCTCCTGAACCAACAAAAAATGAAATTTCAACTTTACGGAAGGCTGCCCTTAAGAAGCTTGGTGAGGTATGTATCCAGGAGGTTACTGGAAGCTGGATGATTTACAAGTGTCTGTTTTGATCATTGCCAAATAATTTGATACTTAAAAATTGTAACATTTTTGACACAGTTATTATTTCTAATTTATATAGAAGCATTGGCCATCATTTCATTATTTCTGTTGGAAATTAATCATATAATTGAGCAAATATTTTTCATAATTTTGCCCATGTAGCAAAGACAAGGATATCATATGAATAATTGCAACATTTATGCATCTGGTAGGTTGTAATAATAATTGTTAGCCTGTATGTTGTTTCTCATTCAAGTTTATCTTATTCCTAGCTAGGAAATGGTGAGATTGATGCTCGAGATATCAAACGTCTCAGTGAAGATGATGACTATGTGCGACGCTTCTTGATGCACCATGACAATGATCAGGCTTTGGCTCTAGAAATGGTTATTGACACCTTCAAATGGAGGAAAGAACTAAGTGTCAATGGTGAGAAAAATTGTCTGGCAGTTTTAATTTACAGCTTACATTAGTTGATGTCTGATGCTGTTGATTTATAGCAGTGGTTCCCAAAGTGGGTGATATCGCCCCCCTAGGGGCGCTGGAAAGATTTTGGTGGGCGGTAAGGAAGAAGGGGGTGATAGGGGTGTGGCAGTCCGAAGTTGATGTCAGAAGTGCGAACGTTTGTTTGACGATTTGTACACAACATGTGCAGCACATGACTCCCAGCGATGGTTTTTTCACCCAGATCTGTTCTTAAACCTGTTTTTACGTCTTGGACAAATTAATGGCCGGACTCGTGGCCGGTCTCATGGCCAATTTCAATGATTCACGGCCATTCATTGATCAAGGAATATCTCTCAAAATAATTAACTTAACTCGATGAAACTTGGTACGTACTTGTATTCATTAGGACCTAACGATAATGTTTTGCTTGTGAAAATTGTTTGAATTTTGCCATCGTTTGTTTTTGCCATAGTTATATCATATGGCAATACGGGCCGAAATTCACAGTGATTTCTTTCAAACTACTGAACAGATTTGAACAAAATTTTGAATTTGCGGTCCTAACTACCGAACGGTATGATGTTTAGCCAGTGAACAATTTTTTGATTGTGCCTTCACTCGCGAGTTTTTTTTAGTGCATTTTCTCATTTATGGAAAAAATTCACTATTGTGCTCGCCATGTCCGTCTGTCTGTCTGTCTGTCGGCCATGACCTCAAGTTTTTGTCGACAAGAAAATGCGCTCTCTGTCACTCACTGTACTGAGTACTGAGCAATACATGCTTAAATTCGCATCAATAAAAAAATTGTTTCCAAACTACCTACCTAAGGTATTCAACAGATTTGAACGAAACTTAGCATTTTAATGCCTAACCTCAGCAACGGTGATGTTCACAATTTTTTCATTTTGCTTTTGTTTGCGAGTTATACGGCTATACGTATAACGCTCTTGGTTAATCCGGCCGGTAGAAAAGCCGGTCGTTCCTCCTATATCTGTATAACTCGCAAACGAAAGCAAAATAGAAAAATTATCACGAGCAAAACATCACCGTTGAGAGGTTAGGTAATTATATACAAAGTTTCTTTGAAATCTGTTCTGTAGTTAAGAATAAATTTCTTAATTGCCGTGAATTTAAGTGACAAATTACCCGGCAATATGGTCTGAATATAAGGAAGTGTGAAATCTAGAACGACGGTGAAATGAAAAAAATCGCAAACGAAGGTAAAAAAAAATCATAAGCTAAAAAATCACCCATAGGTAGTTAGGAAATTCAAAATTTCGTTCAAATCTATTCAATAGTTTGGAAGAAATTCTTTGATCACTGCAAATTTCGGCCTGTTTGGTAATATATACGTAACTCATGAATGAAGGTGAAATTAAAAAAAAATACAAGCTAAACATCACTGTTAGATTCTGATGAATATGTGTTCCAAGTTTCATTGAGCTGCGTTCATTAGTTTGGGAGATATTACTAGATAATTGAATTTGGAGATTGGTCGTGAGACCGGCCACGAGTCCGGCCATAAGTTTGCCTGAGACATCCTAGGTTTCTAGTGCTGAAACAGTTAAAACAGCTTAAAAACATATTGGTTCACTAAATGGGGTTCTATTTGAGAAATACACAGTTGTGTTTAACCTTTATCTTTTAAAATTGCGGTGTACTAAATTTCAAGAAAGAGGCGTATGTATATATATATGTCTGTGGGGGGCGCTAAAAATTCACTAGGGAGCCAAAGGGGGTGCCAGCCTAAGAAAGTTTGGGAACCACTGATTTATAGCATGCTACTTATATGCTAGGTGGATTCTACTTACAGCTTAATTAGGTAAATGAATGTGTGAATGTTCATGTGCTGCTTATCCAAACTTCCAGAACAGATTGCAGTCAACATCTGAGGAAGGTATATATATAAGTTCTTTGGATTCAATATTTGTTAATTGTTTTTTTTTTATTCAGTTAATTTGTATCGTGTGTCAGCTAATTTTTTTGTTGCTGTAGCAGCTTTATTTATTATTCTTCATGAGCTTTGAATAAATGTGCTGCCTTTTTATCAGATCTCACTCACGACCAGCTGAACAAGAAACTAATTGACATCGGCAATTTGTTTCCACATAATCGAGACACAGATGGCTTCAGGATGCTCATATTTTCTGTTTCAAAGCACACCAAGGGCGTCCATGATATGGATGACATGAAGAAGCTCCTCATCTATTGGCTTGAAAGATTGGAAAGGTAGGAATTGTTCATCTGTTTAACCTTGACTTGTGCTGTTATGATATATTTATTTTGAATTCCCTGAGTGGTGTGATTAACCTCATTACCTTGTTATATTTTTTCATCATATTTTGTCTCAGTCAGCTTCTCTTTCTTGCTCACAGAAGGTAATTTAAAATAAAATATAGATATTTATCGTATTGATGTAGTATGATAGTATTATTCAGGAAAATTATTATCTTTAATTTGAAAAAAGATCAGTTTTTAAAAAGCCTTATATGTGTTTTATGCCAATTCTTGAAGGAAAAATTTTTCTCTTCAGTAGAGCAACACGTTGCTGCGCTGCACTGCTATGCCTATTGGCTTATCAGGAGTTGCTTATGCTCAAAAGTCATTTCTTGTTTGTTTTTGATGTGCAGAGAGGAGTATGGCAAGTGGATTTCTGTTGTCTTTGACATGAGAGACACGGGCATGAAAAACATGGATATGGAATTCATTCAGTACATGATCCATTTATTCAAATGTTACTATCCATGGATCCTCAATAATATCATTGTTCTTGAAATGCCTTGGCTTTTGAATGGTGGGTTCATATGTTTCTCTTTGATATGTACTGTAAACTGTTTTTTTATCCAATAAAAATATCTGAAGAATTTTTGTGAAGAGATTCAAGGTTTATTTTACTATTTTTTTTTGTGCTTATAATAATGGCCATGCTCTGCACAGCCATGTGGACAATCATCAAAGGCTGGCTCCCTCCAAAGTCAATTGCAAAGATCAAGTTTGTGAAGAAAAACACCATACTAGAGTACGTGAGCAAGGAGCAGTGCCTTGTGGGCTGGGGAGGAACGGACGACTTCCAGTTCTGTTTTGAGCCAGAGCTCCCCCGACCCCTGCCCTGGGCAGCTCCTGCTGGCGACCAAGAAGCTAAAAAAGTTGGTATCTTCTTTTTATCATTGTTTTCAAGCACCATCTTTCTGAGAATGCTGATAATGTGTTGACACGAGTGTTCAACAATGATGTAATTTCAAGATGGTAACACGAACTTCGGTGTTTCAGGTCACGTTCTCCGACAGCGTCATGGACGGCGCTGCTGCAGGCGCTGCTGTTGCCGCTGCAGGCGCTGCTGTCACCGCTACGAGCTACAATGCAGTCGTTGGCGGCGCTCACCCCATTACTGCCAGTGAGTTCTCTGCCGGCTATGTTATAGCAAGATATTTTCTTTTCTAAAGTGCATGTTTATTCATTCACTTACCAAGTTAGTAGTAACTAAATTTACTTGTTAAATTTAGTTTAGCTAGTTACTGAAATATTTTTGCTTCTAATAACTATAGTATGTTAGCTCAAACCTATGCCTTTGAATGGACTGTAACCTATATTGATGCCTTGTGGTTATGTCGAATGCTATTAGTTTCTATTTGTTTCTAATAACATATTATTTTATTGCAGGGTCGCTGGTTACTGTATCCCCTGCTGAAGAGCTTGTCTTCAATTGCACCCGTTATAGCTGCTCAGCCAGCCTCTCTATTTCCAACCACAACAACTTCCCAGTCTTCTTTAAAGTAAGTTACTCTTCTTACACTCTCGTATTTTCTTGCTGTTATGCACCGCTCGTATGACAACAATGTTATCTCGTGACAGGTGATAAATCACAACAACTTCCCAGTCTTCTTTAAAGTAAGTTACTCCTCTTACTCTGGTATTTTCTTGCTGTTATGCACCGCTCGTATGACAATAATGTTATCTCGTGACAGGTGACCAACCACAACAACTTCCTGGTCTTCTTTAAAGTAAGTTACTCTTCTTACACTCTGGTATTTTCTTGCTGTTATGCACCGCTCATATGACAACAATGTTATCTCGTGACAGGTGAAGACAACGTCTCCTGAGAAGTTCCGTGTTCGGCCGTCTGTGGGGGCGCTAGCAGCAGGCGGTGGCAGCGTGACAGTGACAGTAAATGCCAGCGACCCGACGACCCTGCCGCCCGCGCAGCTGGTCCGTGAGAAGTTCCTAGTACTGGCGAAGGACAGCTCCACGCACCAGGCCTCGCAGCAGGAGGTCTCCGACGCTTTCAAGGTCAACAGAATCAATTGCAAGACTAAAATTCACATTGAAGATAAAAAACTAAATTGACTAAAGAAAAAACAGTTACAAAAATATCCATATTTCTGAAACTATCGATATTTGCCTCAACTCATTGTTCAAATCGGTTAATGACCTTGTCATGGGTTTGAACCGTAAAATTTTAAAATCTCTTCTTTAATTCTTGGTTTTTATTTTTTTTTGTATTTACTATCTAGTTTTATAGACGAATTAACGGCTTGGGCATGGGTCTCGCACTCGGTCCCATTTTCGCAAATATTTTCATGTGTTTTCACGAGGCTAAATGGCTGGCCAATTTTCCTCTGGATTTTTTGCCTGTTTTCTTTAACCGATATGTCGATGATACTTTTTTACTGTTCAAGTATCCCTCTCATGAGGGCCTTTTCTTTGATTATTTTAATCTCCAACATCAGTCTATTAAATTCACCATGGAGCTTAAAACCAACATTAGTTTATTTATTGTCAATTACAATGTTACAAAAACTAATGGCTAAAAGATAATCTCCCGTTTTTATGAGTTATTTCCTATTTTTTATATACAGTTGTGCGCATCAGCGTACGTCGTTGGGATGACTTCTCACAAATTTTACACTAGGCTGGCGGAGCATAAGGGCTGAAGTTTTCGAACGGGAACATTACTTGTGCATCCTCCTCATTCAGCTGTGCGCGTCCATGCCGAGCAGTGCACTGCTCTGGTGTCCGATAGTGATTTTAGAATTCTAGCTTTCACGACTGGTGTTGCTGACCTACGAATTTTAGAATCCCAGTTTATTTCTAAACAGACACCTAGTTTAACACGTTGACTACGATTGCTTCATCTTGTACAATTATTTCATTTTTTGTACTTTTTTTAAGCAGGGTTGCCAGACGGTCATTTTTTCCGGACAAATTCCGTGATTTAGTTTTTCTCAATTGCGTTGGCCGGCTAAAATTTATGATAAGGGTACTTCCTAATTAAATTTTAAATAGTGCAAAAAGAAAATAAATGGAATTTTTATAGCGGAACTTACAAATAAACTAGTATACATTGAATTATCGGCCTTTTTTGGCCTTTTTTGTTCTCGGATTTGGCCGATTTTAGGCAACCTGAATTATGTACCACTACGTCCTGGAGAAATACATTTCGTGGTATGCATATGTACCAATACGTAGTCAACGTGTTAAATACAGCCTTCAGCTACTATCCCTTTGAAATTGTAAATAGATAAGCCTGTCGCCTCATGTGTAGGTATTTGTTTTTTCTTTTATCAGTTTAGGTTTTTATCTTCAATGTGAATTTTAGTCTTCAAGGTGAATATAAGGATTTATTTTGTTTATATGCAGGATTTATCCTGTTTGTATGCACGATTAATCTTGTTTATATTTAGGATTTATCATGTTTCTATGTGGAATTTATTTCGTTTAAATGCTGGATTTATTTTTTTCATTTGCAGGATTTATCTTGTTTATGTGCTGGATTTATCTTGTTCATTTGCAGGATTTATCATGTTTACACGCAGGGTTTATTTTGTTTACACGAAGTATTTACTTATGCTATACGCAGAGTTTATCATGTTTTCAATAGAGGGTTTAATATATTTCTTAGCAATCTTGATAGCATATTTAGTAGTTGCTGGCTTAATTATGTGTCCTGGATACTTGCATTGAGATAATTTTAGTTAAATACTTAACAAACTACCTGGTTCACCATGTCAGTTTGCACTGTTCACCATGTCAGTTTGCAGTGTTCACACCATGTCAGTTTGCGCTGTTCACATTGGTCGCCAATTTCACCATATTTGGAGTACCGATTTCATCATATTAGGTTTGCCAATCTCAAAATATTATTTTGCCGAGTTTTCATATCTTTGAGCGAGGCAATTTCATATGTTACGTCTGTCGTGCCGTGGTCTGACGTGCGTCACTACCGTGCCCTGGTCTGACGTGCGTCACTACCATGCCCTGGTCTGACGTGCGTCACTACCATGCCCTGGTCTGACGTGCGTCACTACCATGCCCTGGTCTGCCGTGCGTCACTAACCAATACCTGCAGGCGGGTACCGGCGGTATGACTGAAGTGCGTCTGCGCGTGGGCGTCTCCTCGTCCACCGACTCACAGAACGGCACGGCAACTCCGGTCGCCCAGACCGAGGCTCAGCTCATCAAGAAGGTGCTGAGTTATTGAGCTCTATTGCACTTCCTTATTTACCTTCCAAATAGAAAAAAATACATGGGCAGGGCCTCTTTGGCTTAATAGATAGTGCAGTTTGACTCTGTGGCTCCTCAAAGGAGGTTGTTTTAGAAAATCCTCGTTTTAATCAAGTTGCCCTCAAGCTACGTGTTTGTTCTTCTAAATCAATTGAAGGTTTCGGGGTTGAGTTGACAGATAGCATTAGTAGTAAATTGATATTCTTCCATCAACAGTAAGAAACCAATTGCGAAAAGATGCTTACACTCGAAGAACTTATTTCAGAAGTTGATGGGCTTACCCTGGCTCAGCTTCTTGTTATGTTATTTATCCTCCTTGTTATTTATCCCCAAAGCTAATGAAAGCAACGGTTTCAGTTGGACGAAGTGCTGCGCGGTCAGCAAGATCTGCGCAAAAGCGTGGTCATGATGCAGCGCCTGCTGCTGCTCCTGCTGGTGCTGTCGCTGCTGATGCTCTACTTCGCCTACACACACGGCGGTGCTCTGGACCGCTACGCGCAGCGTCTCACTTGCTCACAATTTCCTGTCGACGATCGTCAGGAGCTGTAGATCGACATGTTATGTTTGTTCTGAGTTCAAAGCCTTTATATTTTAAGATCAGAAGTTCTATGATATAGTATAGGGTGTGCTTTTCTGGAATTAAGCTCTAACTTCCTTCTTATTAGACGTTGGTTTCCGACCCTTCCACTGCCTTCAATACTGAGAAGCGTTAAACGTTCGTATGTGAACTCTGAATGACTATTTTTAAGAACTCCTTATTTTAAACGAATAATAAAAGTGATATATATATATTTTTGCAAATGATGCTTTCAAATGATGCCAGTGTTTTGATACCTCGCGGCTAATCAATGTGACATTGTCTTTCACGTTTAATCCTAAAGCGGCAAATAAATGGCTACATCGGGTAGAGTATGCGTTAGCTAATGACATAATAGACTATTATATTAAATGTACAGTATCATTGTACCGAATTTCCTTATTTATAACAGTTTAGTTGGGAATGCAGGTCATTTTCAGACATCACGTACTATGTGTGTAGTCTCTTTTCGTTTAGCGATCATCTTCGTTCTTGCTTTTGATTCATAAAATCAATGATGAAATGTTCGTGCAATATCACTATAATAGCGAAAGAAGTTCCTGTTGGTATCCAAGCTTCCGGGTTCAATTGATACACCGTAATGCGCGTTGCGAAACATCGTCGCTTTTTCCTTGCATTGAAATTAAAATGCAGTTTAGGAAACACTTTCAACTGCACTCAATAGCTTCCGACTTGCCAAATGTTTACTTTCGTAAGGTGAAAGCGTGTTTAGAACTTGTTTAAATTGAGTTAACTGAAGCAATGATGGCCAGTACAGTACACCATTACTTGAAACTATTCTATTACACTCCATGACAAATGTGCATTTCATGTACTTGTAATTTCTTTGACTGACTTATTTTTAAGTTCATTTTAGAGATGTGGCTAAAGGTTTAGTTAGTATTATTCCTATGAGCATAGCTAAGTAGAACATAGAGTTCATGATTTAGAGAATATATTTTTTTTACTTTCATACTTTACAATAAATCCAAGATAATCTCAACTGAGCCCAGTAGTTAAATTTAATTAAGTGAATGAAGGCATATCTTTCGCGTATAGTCAAGAAGCTCTAGTCCTTATAAATACAGCTGGTATAAGAGTGTTGCAATATTCCTGCTTCAATATAAACTGGCTTACGAGTGTAGCAATATTCCTGCTTCAATACAAACTGGCTTACAAGCGTTGCAATATTCCTGCTTCAATACAAACTGGCTTACAAGCGTTGCAATATTCCTGCTTCAATACAAACTGGCTTACAAGCGTTGCAATATTCCTGCATGAATACTATAAGACATTTTTTTTAATGATCCTAGCATTTAAGATGTAAGTTTTTAGTCTGTCAAGGAAATATATTACATACCACTGGCAGACGGGCGGCGTTAGTAAATTAAAATGGTATTCAAGGCCGTCTTCATCAACATTTTCGCTTTTACAACCTCTGTTAATACACAAGACAGTCCGTTGCCACTTTGAGATGAATCATAATTCGCCGTTCAGTGTTATTTGCTGAACTTTCCGGTGCAATCAACGTGATGTATTAAAAACTGCCAAGTTTTTCATCGCGGTAATATTATCTTCAATGTAAAAACTGCTGTGGGATTAATAAACTTTATGTTGATCACTTTTTTTATTACAATTTATTCAACGTACCGACGAATAGAAGGTAATAATTAACAATGAATTATAGATGCCGTATCAATTCTAGCTTTTTGACAAACTAACTTTCTATCGAAAAGATTTCTAAACTTCATGAACGCCTTATTATATATTTAGCTTTGTTTGCAATGCCACCGCAATGATGCACGAGACGAGACATCCAATTGAACTGTGCAAGTGTGACGACTACGTTGCAGACACGAAGAAGCAGCAGCCATGATCAGAGAGAAGTATTCTTTACTTGTAACTCTTCAGACAAATTCCACCGTCGCAATAGCGGCCCAACACTTGGTAACTAAAAATCTTACATGCAAATTTAGGAAGTCGCTGTACAGGAAGATAATAAGATTACCACCAGGAATGTGATACGTCAAATAAAGAACCAATGGATCTCCTTCCACATTCACTATTTTAGAAAACTTTAGAACTATCCTAAGATTAGGTTTGTACATAATGAAACGTTACGTCATAACCTGAACTTGGCTACATCAACTCAAAGCTCTTAATGCCAGAAGATGCAACAGTTTCCATCGAATTACATTGTGGCGTATTTAGTATGGGTAAATACAATATAAAATACGTTTTAACATCAATTTAGGGTCATATATATTTATACAGTGAATGAACTCAGCACAATTCAAAGACTATTTACATTAAAATACAGCAACATTTCCAAAAACCTCCGGCTAAACTGTCGGAAAAAGCCGTTAATACATCGGCATCATCATTAGACGCGCGGCGGTAATAACATTAAACAGTACACAGTTGTCTCTACAGTTGAGGCTTCAGAAATTTGCGGTTGAAGGAAGCGGCAGGCACGCCGTAGCTCCCTCGACCCTCCTGAGCAGAGATAGACTGGCCAGAGGAGTGATGCGAGGGCACAGAAGATGGCAACCCTCCTGAGTAGGCAGTGGCTCCACCCACTGAAGTGTTTCCTCCGCTGCTGCTGCTGCCTCGGCCGTCACTAGGCCATCTAATGCGACAACAAACATCATATCAGTATTGTAAATAAACTGGTGTGCCTAAAAGTTACACAAGTCTCCCACACGAAATCTGGCAATATTTGTAAAATATATAACATATTTGATTAATTCCAAGAACTCCGAAGTTTCAAAAGATTATTTGCTCCAAATTCATAACAAATACAATAAAATAACAGGATCCAAGTAAATGCAGGCCCTTTCCAACATCATTTTCGCTCCGTATTCCATCAAATCAAATATTGATGAAACGGATTATAAGTATTTCATGTTTAAATGAATGAGGCTAACCTGGACGACGATGACGATGACACGGAGCCTCGCCAGGTGCTACCGTCATGAGGTGCCGAAAGAAGTGCACCACCAGAACTGCTGCCGTTGGGAGGCGGGTAGGCCTTACTGCTGCCGGAGTAACTGCTCTTGCTGCTACCAGTCCGCCACACGTCCGTGCCGCCGCTGCTGTTACTGCTGCCGCCGTAGCTGCCTTTGCCACTGTTCAGCCACATTCACGTATGTTAACAAAAACGTAAGTATCAAATCAGTTGATTTTTTCATAAGCATGGTAACATGCAGAAATAATGTAAACGGAGAACATCAGTGAAGTAGACATGGCAAGCCATGCCTCCACAAGCAGCTGTTAACAAAAGCAACAATCTAAGAAAAAGCATCTAAAACACACACACGGCGTCACAAACGAAGAGACCTGTACACGCTTCATTGCAGTTATAAAATAGTTAAGTCAAGAAATGTCAAGGATTGTTGACCTCCGTCACTTTGATTTGGTGAAATACGTCAAACTATAAAAAGTTCAAGATTCTCACCGATGATCTCTTGATTAACTTACTGCTTAACTGATTTTTATAACAGGCTTGAGATAAACAATATTTTGTCTTCAATTGTGAGGTGCCTGTAAGCCACTGACTCACCCGTCCCTAGGGATTCTGTTATCCCCAGCCCTAGACAAGGTAGGCGCAGGCGGGGGCAGCGGTGGTGCGATGTAAGAGACGTTGTAGTTGCTGCGAGAGCTGCGACTCTCGGCCGCGTTCGAACCTCGCCGCTCCTCGAAGTAAGCGTCAGATCTGCAAAATCAAGCTCGAATTTAAGAGAAGAAGTAGGAATAAAGTTCATTTTTCATCTGCCTCTCCACACAGTAAAAGACTGATGCTTGGTCCTCTGAAATTGATCTCGAAGAACTAAATTAACAACTGGTAGCTGATTTCTTGCCACTACTTTAACTAAATTAATGCGCATGAATTCTGGAGAGAAACAAAGAACGTGTGAAAACAAAACAAAAAAAGTGAAAGTCGCACATGACGACCTACACACATTCAAGTTCACACGTGAAAGAAGAGGAAGAACGGGACAAAGCATTGCTCCTCGAGTTTTCTAATAGGATACATAATCAAAATTTGAGAGGTTGAGGGTGGACCAAAAATGTGGGCACCAACTAGATTCGCGGCTATGAACACTTGGCTCAAAATAGCCAATCACAATTAGAATAAACAACAGTTTTATTCGATTTGTTCAAAAAATATCAGGAAGTATTTTATTGATAGCTACAATTTACGAACCTCCTGGCGGGAGCAGGTGCGGACGCAGCACCTCCAGAGGGCATCCACCTCAAGTGTTCACTTGAGGTCTTAGTCACGGCCCCTCCAGCAGCACTTCCACCATTAGGATGCCGTTCAAAGCGCCCCTCTGTAGCAGCCCCAGGGGCTCCAGAAGGAGGATGTCGTTCAAAGCGTCCCCCAGCTGCGGCCCCGCCACCAGATGATGGGTGACGCTCAAAACGTCCTCCGCCGACAGCGCCTTCACCTCGGCCACCGTAGTTGTTGTTGGCTTCGTAGCGGTGGCCCTCTGATCGATGGCCAGCGTCGTATCTGCAATTATACAGTCGATCTCTTACTTTTATTTTTTTATGTAATACTTTATACGTATATATATATATATTGTATATACGTTTACGTACTTTATACGTATATATATATAGTTTATACGGTATATTATGTAATATAATACCTGCGTTCATTAAACTTATATCAGTTATTCACCAATGAGTTAAAATCTGCTTGCAAACGCCAGCCAAAATTAAAAAAAATATCCTCTCCATCTGGTAACACCTGTTAGACCAACCTTCTGGAGGTGAGTGGCTGTTGAGGGGGACCAGCATACCGGGGCCTCGAGTCTCCTATCCTGTTGGGGGCGGGACGCTTGCGGTCTTCATAGTGATCGCGGCGGTCCTCAGCAGGACGCTTGAGCGCTCGACGATCATCGAAACGTCCAAGCATCGGCTTCGTCTCCATCCTGGCATGAATTGGGAAATGAAGGCGGCTCGTGGGCTCAGACAATGGCAGCAGCATGGCAACGAGCTACAAATTAGATTATGAGAACATGCAATCACATTGCAGCTGTAACAGGAAAAAAGCACCGTACAACGCACCTGCTGCTTGCACCGTGCACCAGCTTCAGCTGTTGCCGTCGTAGTTCCTCGCGCTCTCTCTCGAGCTTCTCGCGCTCCAGACGCTGTTGCTCACGCTCGAGCCTCAGCAGCTCCTGCTTCTGGCGCTCAATGCGCTCACGCTCCGCTCTCAGCTGCTCTCGCTCTCTGTTTACGTAGTCATCATGAGCACGAGAATCCAAAGTTTAAATTTTACGTTAAAAAAAAAGACTCCATAACAAAGGCACTGTTAATGATACTCGAACAATTGTTTTATTTTGAGGAAAGAAATTTTTTATGATATCATAAAGATGAAATGGGAGATTGACTCAAAAATGTATGCCTTCCCGAGGCTTTTTGAAAGATCTATTTTCAGTTCAATTAACACATGCTCCTGACCTAATTTTCAAAAACCATTTTGTTACACTCAGAAGATTTATTGTGTTGCTGATACCTCGCGAGGCGCTCAGCTTCAGCGCGCTGCCGTCGCTCGATGAGTCGCTGCCGCGTCTCGTCCTCTCGCGCACGCCGCTCGTCCTCGCGTATGAGGCGCTCCCGCACTCGAGACCGCTGCCGCTCGCACTCCTCCACGATCTGCGACACGCACGGGAAAATAAAGTTAATTACGCAACATGAATATGAAATGGCGGTATCTTAGGCCTGTGGAAGAGTTATTTCTGACTGCAATTATTGGTTACAATACAGCTAAGTGACGAGGCTGGTTGCATACACTGCAGGATGCCTTGAGTTAGGTCTAAAGTACGTGATTATGAAGAAGAACAAATAAAACGTTTTGAGCCACAGTACTTAAAATTATACAGATCAAATAATTAACTAGAACTAAATTCTTCTACAGGCTTCATTTGCGATTTGGTTTCTCATGGCTATTTGAACGAAGCATACCTGTGAGATGCCAAGCTGCTGCTTCTCCATGTGTCGCGGCGAAAGTTTGTCAAGAGCTGACGGTGACAAGCGAGATGACAAGCGGCGTGACAGGTTTGCCCTCGGTCCTGCCTCGCGGAAGCCGCCCTCGTTGCCAAAGCGCGGGCCCAGTGCGCGGATGGGACGAGGAGGCCCATAGCGATGGTCCACGACTCGCGGTCTGGAAATGAAATCATACCGAGATATGATAATTAAAAATGTTTATGAAGAAGTCGGAAATACATCGAAACTTTAACTACCGTTGCCCATATCAAGCAATGATTTGCATTTCATACTATTCAAATACCAACTTAAATTCATGTTCCTTGCTGCATACATCCAAAATTATTTTCATACGGCTTTCAAGGAAACAGTGAAAAGAATATGGGTGTGCTGGGAAGAACAGCGAATCATTTAATAGATGCTTCTTAATGATTCACCTGTTGCTATATAATGATTTAAGATAGTCTTGAATGGTGGTTGAATATCTAACATCCAACTCATTGAATTTCTATAAAAAGAATACGAGCGGATAGACTTTTTCAAAGTAGGCTTTGTTGCCTCCATTGTTCGATTTAACTTCTCCTGCCCCATTGAACCTCACAATCTAAAAACCTGAGCAGTTTTACCAGCGTTTATGCCCGCGTCTGCAAGAATTCAACTTGTTTATATGCTGTAATCCACCAAGTTCGATGTCTCAAGCTGCCTCGTGAATTACCATTTAGCCACTGTAGCTTCCACAAGAACTGTACATTGTCAAAGGGTATTCAGCAGAACTCTACTCCAACACCTCGCCTCGGTTGGGCCGACCTTCCATTAATTTAACCTCAGACCACGAAAAAAGAGTTTCCTTCATTTGTGTAACCTATATTTCAAAAGGTTGGTGATATTAAAAACATTTTCATGGATGTACAACTATAGTCATTATCTCTGAATATCGTGGAGCAAACATTACTAATTCATTTTTTGTAGCAGCTACTACACACGTTGTTGGGCGACAGCGCACATTCTCAATTTCTTACCGAGAGCATTGATCAGGTTTCTAAGTTTAGGCTGGAAGAAAGCGACTGATTTCAGATCATGGGCTTCTCTAATTAAAGTGAGGAACATTTGCCACATTGATACTATAATAAGGGTTCATAGAAATAATTTTGATGTCAGGATTTTGTTTCTTACCAGCTAGCGTCGAGAGAATCATCTTTGGCATGTTCCTGATCGGCTATTACCAGGTGGTCTTGAAAGAACTTCTAATAAATTTATTGGCGGCTATCTTCTTATTATTTCCTTACAACTGCAGCCGTTTACTTAAGGCACCTTGTTGATTTATGGCCATGATTTAAATAAAAAATTGTACATTTGAGCTGTCACCTGCCAGGACGGCTGCGGGAATGCTCCCTGCTTCGGTCGAGGGAGGTTCTGCGCTTGTGAGGATCATGGCTGCTGCTGGTGCTGCGTTGTCGGTCGCGAGGTTCATTGCTCCGATGTCGGTCCATAGAAGTGTTCCTCTCACTGGGCTCTCCCTTGGCCTGCACAAACCTAGACTTGTCAAAACCAATGGCTTCCTCATTAAAGCAGAGCACTAATATTCATCGCAAAAAATCCTGGTCAATATGGACGTTCTAGATACATTACTGATCATTGCACTCGTCATACCAATGACAAGAATCTTCAGAGACTACAATACTCACGCGCTCGACTTGTATGATACGACCGCGCAGCTCCGTCTTGTTGAGATTCTTAATGCAGGCGGAGGCCTCTTCTGGACTGTTCATAGTGACGAAACCGTAGCATTTTGAGCCAGGACTCTTGGCTGACATAACGATCTTTGCCGATATGACCTGGATGCGGTAAAAAAAAGATAAGCAAGATAATTGCCTTGACATATGCAAATGATGCTTCATACAAAGATATTTACAGCCGAAATAACGACCTAGATGCAAAGAAATGATCCATTATTGTGTCATGACCATAATATCATTCTGTTTCTCATAAACTCATAAACACGTAAATTATGAGCTTTTCAACATGAAAAAGAAATAATCACATTATAACAATGTTAAATTTTCCTTCGATCGCGAATAGATTTGTTTCGCTCAAATATCTATCTAATGACGCTATCGCGTCATCCCCGTTAGGCAGAAATACAATATTTTACTGACCTTGCCATGCTTGCTGAAGTGAGATTTCACTTCCTGGGCTCGTGTGCTTGACGCCAGTCCGCTCACCCACAGGTTACATCCGCTCTTCTGACCCCCTATGGGAACAACACAAATATTCTTAACATAGCTATGAATTTGAAACTCGTTCCACAGTTCACTGCTTTAGCAGAAACTTTTAACAAATATAGTGAGTTCAAAAATAAGCAACACTTACAAATACTTGTAATTTTCATTCATGAAGAACATTGAAAAATTTTAAGTTAGGTTCAAAATGCACAGACAATCCAATATCTTGATAAAAACGTCCAGCTTAAATCCATGCTCACCAAATCAGAGAACCCACCTTTAGAGTCTTTCGAGTGGTCTGCATTACCGGATTCAGAAGTGCTGTGGGATAATACAGGAGATAGTAAGCACGAGCTAATAAGATTTTACACTTGGCTTAGTATGTTGCTGGACAAAGCAAACTTTAAGCAAGAGCAGAACTCGGTTCAGTTACAATTCATTTTTTGTAATGACAACGTAAGTATTAATTATAAAGACAAACATTTTGAAGCTAATGTCTTCAAAACTCTAACAAACATCAAAAAAGTCATGGGAGTACATCTGACAATTTAATTACTCGGGACATGAATGGAATTTTGATTAGGGTTGGCAGTACAGAGCATGGAATAAACATGTCATGAGGACATATGTTAGGACCAAAGGCTTGACTGAGAAGCAGTGCTTCGGTGTAGGACAGAGACGTTCAGGAGATCAAGTATCACAATGGCAGCAACGCTAGAGCAGATGAGCTAAGATCTTCTCTCAATGTGTCTGCAACGTGCTAGGCTGGCTGAGTTCTATCCACGACGAGATATTTTTCTCTTCAAGACTTGGGTGTGAAGGAAGTAGTAGGCAGACATGAGCCTGGTACCAATGCCCTTTGCTGAGTGTGTATGTATGTGAGTGCTGCTAACTAACAGTGATATTACACCAGCCTTACGACACCTGAGCTGAAGTAAACAAACGGCTCCCTCACTCACCAACACGAGCAAATAACCAACCTCTTCTTCTCTGAACTTTCCATATTTGCGCTAGTATCTTTGTTGGATGAAGGGTCTTCTGTGCTGCCTCCTCCTGCTGCTGATGATTGAGCATGAGAACTTGTGCCGCCACCTCCTTCTCTGCCTTCTGCATTGCTCTCAGCTGCATCTCCTCCTGCTCCTCCACTGCAACTGTTGCCTTTGTTGTTGTCGCTGCTGCTTCTTGTCTTCTTACTGCTGAGTTGGCCACTTGATGAGGAGTCTGCTGAATGTGGTACACCGAGATGTGAATTACGCGCTTCCCGGGGCCACACACTCTACCACCCAGCAGCATGGTCAGCAACCAGCCAGCGGCGTGGCCATCAGATGTGTGAGCGATATGTGCCACAGTAGAGGTTTAGTTGATATTAACCAGGTCATCCTTAAGGGTGGACTTCAATAGTACCTACTAAAGGAAAGAATGACTCAGTTTATAAACAAGCAGACATATCAAGTATCCAGTGGAGTGCAGTATCAAGAGACCCTTCGGTAAAGATGATGGCAAACAGCAGCAGCGAGGGAAGAGGTTGCAGCTTCGAGGTCTCCTTCTAGCCCATCTCTCCTTTCTCACTCATTGCTCAGGTGCAAACTTCCATCCATGATGATAAAACATGTAACTCACCTCAAAGATTATTTTCATGATGCAAAAATGCATAGCAAATTATAACTATGCCTAACAAAAGGCACAAACCAAAATAGCATTTTTGAGATATAAAATGAATGCATTGCTAGTAATATGAGCGGACGAGTATTTTTCTTTAGAAAAGTTCAAGACATTAAGCCACAGAAGATTAGAGCATTCAATGAATCTGAATGAATAATTGAATGTAAATCTCTCCTGATCTCTTTGAAACCTGATGGTTAAATTGCACAGAACATCAGTCGCGTGCCGCGTGTGCTAGATAGTAAGATCATTTTTTGAAATATGAGCAGCAAATATTCCTTCGATTTTATACCATGACGCAGGAAAAGTCTCTAGTCCATTATATTGATTCAGATATAAAATGCGATGCAGGCATAAGCTAAGAACAATTTGCATGTAGCAGCGACGCAGAATGATGGGAGGCAGGTGGCTGAGTGTGAGAGCTGCAAGACGGCGTTTGGAGGCCATGACAGCAGGACACCAATACGATGACATGAATCTTGGGACTAAAGTAGTGCTGGCCAGCTGCTCCAATAATTAGTCTGCTCCAGACTAATCCTTTGATCCACAAGGAAGATGATGCCATACAATATATAATGACAGTCTGTGTATAACTTTAAAGGACAGACTGTTCATGCAACCCTAATTGCATGAATGGTAGAACACAAGTGTATATCTCAGGCATACAAGCTTTAATCACATCATCAGTTCAAAAGCCCTCCAATGAAGAGGAAATACAGATGACTTATTCAAATGCCCACCTTTAAGATCACCAGTGACCCCATCATCCTGAAAAAAAAAAACAAGTTTCAGAAATTTGTTATTTACTTTATACCTCCTGAAATCATAACTATCACTTTTCTTTATGTAATAATCAATGCAGAATGCATTCGTTGATGAACAGAGTAATGCTTCAGAATTGTTCATTGCTAAGGAAATCATGCATGAGCTCTTTATTTTACTAAGTTTAATAGAAATTGAATAGTGATGGATAGTTCAAAACAATCTCTTTCACACTTTGATATCACAAGGAACAAGAAATATATTCAAATAACTTACTTGTCCATGACGAATCGTGGTGCCATCTTCATAGATCATCTCTTCATCCAGCATATTGTCATCATCATCCACCATGAAGTTGATTTCATCTTCAAAGTTGCTTGAGGAAGTAGGAGCCAGAAGGTCTTCATTCCTCTTGCCCAGCAACTCTAGGTCATCACCAGAGTTTGCTGCAACACCACCTTCAGTACTCCCGTCAGCAGCATGGTCGGTGTGGCCATCAAGCTGTGGCTCATCACTGTCCATTATTTGCTTATTTTCAACTTCATTCTCTTCTGGTTTATTCTTATTTGCATCCTCTAAGTTGCTCTTGTCTTCATCTCCTAGTAGGCAATCATCTTCCTTATCTAATGGGCTCTCCTTTTTTTCAGTTGGTGGAAGCTCATCTACAAATTCACGTGAGAAATCATCTCGGCTTTTCATGGGGCTTTCTGAAGTTTCTTTGTGGTGGCTATCATCATAGTCCACCTCATCATCAAAGGGATGAATGCTATTGTCCCCATCATATCTGGAGTCTTCATCATGTCTAGTGTCTTCATCATGTCTACTGTCATCATCGTGTCTAGTGTCTTCATCATCATACTTATGAACATCATCATAATGATGATCATCAGCATCTGAGTGACAGTTTTCACGTTGATTATGCCGAGCATTTATTCCTGCCTCTAGCCCGTCCGTCTCCTCAGAGGCAGGATTTTTACCATCAACAGACAATTTTCTGTGCTCTCCATCAAATGAATCTTCCTCGTCAACTTGATCCATAACTTGCATGTCACCGGCAGACTCCATTAATGAATTTCCTTCCTCTTCATCTGCAAATCAGGGAATAGATTGAAGCAAGTCTTTGAGGCTGCCATATAAACACAAATTTGCTTCAAGCTCAATATATATACCCGCACAAGCAACAATAGTGAATGTACTGAAGTATTGACAAGGTGCAACAATTTTAACACACGCAGACATATTTGGATAAAAGTCCAAAGAAATTCAAATTCTTAGCACTGGTAGTAGAAAGTATGTCCAATTCTGAAATTATCCATACATTAAATTTTAATATATTATTGATACAAATATCGACATTAAATTTACATATAGGTATTAAATTATGAATATTGCTTAACCTGAGCTGGCATTTTTCAAGAAAGGCAAATAATATCACCATGTATGATACTTGCTAAGACCACAATCATATCAGATACTCTTACATGAATTCACAAGCATGGTGGGACTGATGTTTAGTATGATACAATCAACAGCTAATTGGTAATTTATGAAGACATTGGTTCATTGCGTAGCACAAAACTTCGTGGATGTTAAGGGGGCTTTTTTTACAGAAATCCTGTTACAATACACAAAATTTGCACCCCAAAGACCAATCTTCTTCCATGTACTGTCATGTACTGTATGAAAGCTGGACAAAATTTACAAGTAATTTAAAACAAATTTCTTACTTGGCACATAATTTTCTACAGCACTAACTCTTACATTGGCCAGGAGGAACTTGTGCACAAGTCACACCCCTTCAGAATTCATACATTTTTATTACAAATGAAAGGAGCCTGAATCTCACCAGTATCATTATGTTCTTCATTCTGCTGATGACAACCATTGTGGTCCATTGGGTCTGTCTCTTCATTTGATGCAAGACTTGCATCATCTACATATCACAGATTAAAAGAAAATTAGAAATGCAAGCAGTAAAAAATAATGGATAAGTAAAATAAACATTAATTTGGATACTTTTTTGTTGATACCCACATTCTTGAGAAGGCAGATAATTTGTGAAGTAATTTCCTTCAGCAAGAAAAGAACAGCCAAATGAGAATAAAAATTTGTGCAGAAATAAAGAATTAATTTTATCAAATAGTATTTTAGCTCTAATATGAAACTTACCTCCATAATTGGTCTCCATCTGTGCTTTTTGACAATCTTCTTCTTCTAAGGTGCCTTCAAGAGCCTGAAAATGTAAATATGATCATTTTAGAATGAATCATGAAAACAATTTTATAGGCTAAAATTTTATAATTAAATTGAGCACTTCTAAAAATTTCCCTGTTGGACATTATAGTGCAGATTTTTTAGATATATTAATAAATAGTTCTTGCTTTCAATATGAACTGCAAGAGCCTCAACTTCATTGTCAAGATCAGAATCAGACCCATTATAAAGATTGCGAAATCTCCTAATTTTTACTTTAATACTATAGCTTCAAAATCCCATAATTTCAGCAAATTGAAAATCTAATGGCTCCAAATTAATGTATTTTGGCTAGGTAAAATTTTGTATGGCTTCATGGCTTTCAAAAACATTGTTCTAATAAAATTTGAAATTTGGCAGTTCGGTGCCATGAAACTGCCCAAAACTTCCATGCCCATAATGTTTTCATACTTTTTTTAAGCAGTTACCGTAAAATGGGGTAACTTAGACCGGCGGGGTAACTTAGACCACTTTTCGTTTTTTTAACAAAAACCCCCACAACTCAAAAACTATTTGACATAGAAAAATTTTGTCAATGGGCATTAAAGGCCTAATACTGAATAAAGACTATGAGAGGCAGGAGCCAGCAATTTATGGTGAGTGAAGCTAGAGTATAGACCTGTATTTTGCATGTTTCAATTCAAGTTTAATTTAGCTAGTAAAAAAATGGCATCATTTATAATAAATAAAGTGGTCTAAGTTACCCCATTTTACGGTATGTCAGATAGGTAGTGACCAACACTGTTACTAACAACAGTTTGCAGTCTAATAATAACAACAATGAAACAAACTTGGATCTGTGACAGAAATGAATCACTATAACATGTATACAAAATTACTAAAAATGAAATGAAGGCAAAAATTCAATGGAAAACCCACCACTATTGGAAAATTATCTTCCATGGCTTATAAAATAAACAATTCCTACTTACTTATTACTAAGCCTATCTGGAATATCAGACAGAATTTCCCATAAATTGTGGGTGAAAAATCATTTCATGTGTGATTTCTGAAAGTCACAGACAAAACAGAGCTGTTTTTTCTTGAATTCTATTTAAAAAAAGTCAAGAGTCATAGGAACAGTTGAAGTACACCATGAGTACAGGTGAGTTGTATCATTCACTGGTGGCTTTGGTCCATTTTTCCACTTTGCTTACTGAAATATTGGGATCAAAAGTGACATATTAACCACAAATTTCAAATGTTGTGGCTTGATATTGTACCTTTGATGACAATCAAGATATAGGTATAATTCATCTACCAACAATGACAAATAAATTGCACTTTACAGCACCTAACTCCCCACTTGTCAATAAAAACTGTATAATTACAGAATTATGATTTGTAGAGTTCAATTGCCACTCAACTAAAAATATTTTTTGGTTGTGGTAGAAAGTTGTACCTCAGTTTTGTTAACAAAATAGCTTCATTCTTTTGAGACCAGTGACAAAAGTTCTGTGGCAGAGATGGTAGCAGGCAGCCTCCAAAATAATAAATAAATCTACTTTTCAAGCAGGGACCAGAGCTTTCTCACCATTTTTAGAGCCACAAGATTCCTGCTAGATGAATTCCCTCCTGTATAATTCTTAACAAATGTGAACAATCAGGCAGCAGTATTACAAATGTATTGCAAATTTGTCACATTGGAGCTGCAAGATTTCATTAAAAAATGAGAACTCCAATCCTGGTAGTAGGAATCTTGCAGCTCCAAAAAATTGCAGGAAAGCTAAAGCACTGGTCATGGCTTGGATATTCCACACCTTCTGTGACCTCATTAGCAAGCCATTCAGGTTTCAGGGAATTCAGGCAAACCACAGAAGCCACCACTGAATGAAATGAATATAATCCCGCTTGCAGGCCGAACTGGAAAAACAGGATATTATACATATAAATATGCCTATTCAAATTCCATCACATGCATTTTAAGTAAAAATAATTGCCGCTAATTATGCATAAGGTCTAAAATATCATTTTAAACATAAATGAACTCCCATCACCCAATCCAGGAAATAGAATTCTTGAAAACAAAGCAACATCTCCATGAAATAAAAAAATGAGATCAGTACTCGCTGCACTGAGTGACAGAGAGCGCATTTTCTTGTCCATCTGTGAAATGAAGTCATGCACAGAAGGACATGACCAGCACAATAGCGCCTTTTTTCCATAAATGAGAAAATGCACTATAAATGTCATCTATAGCACAAATATCTCGCTGTTTTAGCAATATCAGCCAAGTTTTGAATATCACACTAAATATCATACCACACCAATCCCTTTACAGCATGTAACCACATTAATTACTGAACAAATTAAAATGTCCCACTTTGATCAAAATGTACTTTGTTTGAGCAATGTCAACTGTATGCATGTTTGGTAGGTGGTGGACTGCCCATCATCAGACAACTTGTGCCTGGCCAATTTCCAACAAAATCTGTCATTATACCAGTGTTTAACAACAAATTGAGCATGTAAATGACACATTTATACCATAAAGTCAAAATATAGACTGTTCCATGTAGAAAAATGAGAGAAAAATTCATTTTAACAACAAATACATTACTTTCAAGTTGCGCTACAGCCATTATTGACCAGAAATGAAGACAGGATCGCCATCTTTACCTACCAGTCTCATTGACTTGAATAACCAAGAAAACACTCACTTGCTTCACTTCAGGATTTGAATGCCAAAATTAGGCCATTGCTTCACACTTCACTTTAAGGCAAGGTTCAAGATCTAAATTGAAAAATTAGCAAAGCACACACAGTTCAAATAAAATACTCACATGTGAAATGATGTGATTGCACAGAAAGATCAGAATGCTAGCATTGATGTTTGTTTACATTAGAGGTGACGTCACAGGTGACATAACAAATGACATCCACAAGGCGCAGCTGCGGTAGGTAGTGTAAATATCTAGGCTGTTAGGTTGGGTCTTAATGGGGCTGACAATATATTATTGTTATATCATGGAAGTTATAGTAACTGAAAATCATGTGTATATAAATTTTAAGTTACCGCATCAATACAATGAATATTTATGTTACAAATTTACAACTAATGTTGTCATAACATTTGTAAAACGTTTTGCCCATCATATTTTTCTAAAACTGATTTAAACCTAAATAACAACAAAGCTATTTATTATCAATACAGTCCTGCTGCTTGAGGGCATCTTCAGATTGTTTTGTGTCTGCTTTCATATATAAAGTTTTGGTAACGTCTGTTCAGTATTTTCGAATAAATTTTTTGTTCACTGCAAATTTAAGCAAGCATTGCTGTTTAAATTACAAACTAGGGAAAAATAGAAGAAAACTTGCAACAAAGGCAAAATTAAAAAAAAAATTCCACAAGCTTAATATCACCATTGCATAGTTATGAAAGTACCTATATTCAAAATTTTGTTCAAATCTGTTCAGTACTTTTTGAAGAAATGTCTTGTTCACTGCGAATTTCGGCACATATTGCCATATAACTCACAAATGAACAGAATTAACCAAATTTTCACAAGCTAAAGATCATTGTTATTCCTAATGGATATGTGTACCAAGTTTCATCAAGCTATGTTCATTACTTTCAGAGGCATTTCTTGTTCACTAAGTTTGGAGAGACCAGCCGCAAGTCCAGCTGTAAAATTGTCTGACAGGTAACACACAGCTTGTGCTGGTTTGTGTCTTAAATTTGTTGTTGAGGCTGTAATGTTCAAATATCCATAAAATTTGCATTGAGAAGGAACATAAACATTTTGAAATTGTTAAAATAATAAAAAACATGAATGATTGATAGCCATTATATGACCAAATGCTAATAAAACACATTCTCCTCGTTCATGACCTGAATAAGTTTTTTTATATTTAAAAGTCAACTGTAGCCACTACATCCGAGGGACAGAATCTAACAACGAAACAGATCTATAAACGTATTTTAAATAAATTGAATATCAAAATCAATTTTATCTTGATCAAGTTAAACACTCATCATGCTAGCATGTCAAAAAAAATAAACTTAAAAATTTTTGTTCAAAATTAATTTCAGTTCATACTACCAAACAGTAATGCTCAAGCTCATGTTGTCAATGAGCTCATGTTGGCTGTAGACATCTGCTGCATTTTTAGTTGTGCACTGGAGCGTAGTTTGGTTTTTGGGATTAATCTAATGAATTAATATTTTAAATGAAGTGTCAGTCAGCATTAAAGGGTACATCATTCAGCGGCAGAGACTTGTCACATTCATTTCAACGTGTAAAAATAGTATCAATATATCGTTGACCAAGGAGCTCGAGATAGCAACTTTAAACTATAGAGTAAATATAATGTTAAATGTGTATCGTAGTATGCAAATTATCAAATTGTCTGCTAATTCCAGAAAATTCAAGTCCGGCAGCACCCACGCGGCCGATGTGCGCGCAGTTGAAGTTGGGATCGGCAACGAGGCAAGCTCTGCCAAATTTATTTCCGTGTTTATGAGTGTCAAATGTGAAATAGGTGCATTTACTGGATGATTGAGTTTTTTATGAACGAGCAGAAACTGTTTGTGAGAATATCAGTGATTACTTTTTATTCCTGAAGCTGTTGTGTGAAGTTGTACGTCACTTAGTCAAGATGGGCGCCTCTAAGCCAGCGGCATATCACGGAATGTCCGTTATATTTGAATTATTTGTTCAATCCATTAGTGTTTGATTTGAATTAACTTAGTAAATCAACCAATACAGTGTAATCTCAAGGCGATAATTGTCGTGAGCTAGATCTAGTAGTTTCTGTTCTGCCCTAAAAATAGAATTCTTGTGGAGAATGCTTTGTAATGGCTAGTTGCTACAGATGATCATTTAATCATTGCAAATTGATTTGGCTTCTTTTTAAAGCTAATGCGTGTCAAGTGTGCCTAGGTTGTATGAAAATATTGTCGATTTGAGAATGAATGGGATTGTCAGAAGAGCTGCAGTGCTGTGAAGTTAAATGGTCTATGGTTCCAGTCTAAATACTTTATTCCATATTTGCAGGTATCGTACGGTATTACTAGTAGTAAAAGCTATTCGTTAGAAAAGCATTGAAGAATTGAAGTCCACGTTCGTCTTTCTAGAGCCTCAAAGACCGTAAGTTAAAGAACCTACGAATTTACCCTGTGTCATGTTAATTACCGTCGTCAGCCAGTTTGGAAAACTAGGCCAGTAATCTAGCAGTAGTTAATTACCATTAGAAGTAGGCTTGTATGTAAAAGGTGCCAGTAACCTAGTACTCTAGCAGTAGCTTGCTTCTGTCAGATCCTCAAAAGATCATTTTGTTATTGCTAGCTAATATTGAATAATTGAATCCGTCGGAATCATTTGTGGTCGGCTACATGTGATCGCTCTACCGTTCATTATTGCCCGCTCCGCTCTATGTGCCTTATAAGTTGCTATAAGCTACGTATTCAGTTAGGGTCATGAAACAGACCGATGAGATTAATTAGATTAAATAGAGAAGTAGAGTACGATTGATCTCGTGTATTGAATGTTGCACTCGACTGAAATTAGGCAGCTCCCTTCTGGAGCTGTGTTCATAAAATCAATTATGATATATGATCATGGTCTTTTGTATTTCAATTTAAAGCAGCTCCCTTCTGGAGCTGCGTCTATTAGACTTATTATCATTCTAGGATCTCTGTTTCTTGTATGTCCTTAGAACTCGAAAACTATTTGACATGGAAAAATTTTGTCAATGGCATTAAAGGCCTAATACTGAGGCTACATAACACAATAGAAAGATAAAAAAATGAAAAATGTGACCCAGGAAAAAGAGTAGGTATATAAAAAGAGAAAGGCCCCAGCAACACCACTCCCGAGTGTCATTAGAGCTTGCCAGTATTGATCACAATTACTTGAAAAAGCAAAAGGGCAAAAGGATGATGAATGGTTTTGTGTATATTGTAATCATTCATGGTCAAATGATAAAGAAAATAAAGTAAAGGCTAGGTGGATCGATTGCAATTACCGTAAAATGGGTAACTTCGACCACATTTTTTTTCAAAACGATGCCATTTTTTTACTAGATAAGTTAAACTTAAATTGAAACGTGCAAAATACAGGTCTATACTCTAGCTTTACTCACCATAAATTGCTGGCTCCTGCCTCTCATAGTTTTGATGTAATTTTAAAAAAAGTGATGGTCTTTGTTATCCCAGCTCTTGGGGTTTCTTTGACCAGGTGGTAAAATCAATTTTATTTTTTGGTAAAATAACTCCAGGTTGTGGTGGATTGTAGTAGAACTTTTCTAGTTACACATGCAAAAGACAGATTTTAGGAAAGTGTCAGTTTGCAAATGGGAGGCGCCGCCCCTAATAGGCAAAATGTGACCACCTAATGGCAGCCATGACGGTAACATTGACCGGTTTGGAAATTAAGTTAAAATTACCATATATAAGACTCTGTAGAGTCTGAAACATAAAGAAAAAAACATTAATAGGTGCATCAAACATAAAATGTGTTATATAGGTACCTATGGTAATTTCAACTTAATTTCCAAGCCGGTCAATGTTACCCCGTCACGGCTGCCATCAGGTGGTCAAAGTTCCCCCCTTGGGGGGTGGTGCCCCCCATTTGCAAACTATGACACTTTCCTAAAATTTGTCTTTTGCATATGTAACTAGAAGAGTTCTACTACAATGCATCAAAACCTGGAGTTATTTTACCAAAAAATAAAAAAATTGGAGGGGGTACTCCGACAGGCTTCAAATAATAGCTCTTTTTCGTGGGTCGCATTATTAATTTTTCAACCTATTAGATATGCAAACTTTTTAAATCTTTCTATTGTGTTACGTAGCCTCAGTATTAGGCCTTTGATGGCCATTGACAAAATTTTTCTATGTCAAATTGTTTTTGAGTTTTGGGGATTTTTGTTAAAAAAACGAAAAGTGGTCAAAGTTACCCCGCCGGTCAAAGTAACTTCATTTTACGGTACTGTGATAAAAAATGCATATTAGTTGTTGCCAAAAAAGCATATGAATGAAATTTGTTTTCATTGGGATGCTATGAAGAATGGAAAACCAGGAGAAGATGTCGATTTTGTGTGCGAGTGTTGTCTTGAAGTTGAAGGTAGAGAGACCTTGATGAATTAGACAACAAAGGATGTCTGGCCAAGGAAGGAGGAAATAATTTTCAGTAAAAAAAATTGTTTTTACAATCCTATTACACTCTTACAAATGTTTAAAAAAGCTTGACGGACTATGCATCGCAACCTAATAGATTTTGAAGCGCTGTCATAATTAGTCTCACAAAATGCCAAATTTAGTCACACACAGCATCGAAATTCAGGGATTTTATAGGTTTGAATTCTAAAGGCTTTTAAATAAATATGGTAACAGTTTGTGATGTTTCATCAATCATCATTGCTGGTGCGTCGTGTGGTGCTTTGAGAGTGACAGAAAGCAATCAGAACTCGAGTTGCACATACGGTGATATCTTTTATATATAATCTTTATAGCCATTCATTTCTTGCTACATCCAGTATAGTCAGATGGGGTAAGACAGGACCGAAATCACTAACAGGCATGTAGCATCTATACCATGAATAACTATAAAATCCTAAACTTATCACAAGGTGTGGTTATGCAATGGCTTCAAAGCTACAACTCAGACTTTTTGCATACCACACAGTTTTCTGTACACATTAAAAAAAGTGAGCTGGTCCCATCTTACCCCATTGGGGTAAGATGGGACCAAGCTGAGGTAAGAAAGGACCAACAGGTAATTCTTATGTTACAAGGTTTTTAGTAAAAATATAATCTGATATTCAATATTATCCATCTAGAAACACATTATTTGATTAAACAACACTTGTTACTGTTTTGTGTTGCAG